AAGAGGAATAATGTATGTAATAATTTGAAAGATACATGTAACAATTTTGACATTAAATACTGCACACAAAGTAGTGGTAGACCATTAAAAAATACCAGATTTCTTGATGTTCCCAGTGGAAAAGGAAAGTCAGCTTCGAAATATAACAACTCTTTCTGCTTTATATCCAAAAATACAGCTTGTGGGTAAAATTTGCAAGAATCATGCCAGTGATTCATTGCATGTGTATAATTAGTTACGGCATGGAATCACAGCCTTTATGGACAGGAAAAAATTATCTGACTCAACTAAGTCACCTTTTTAATAATTGATGTCTGGTCTTTTCACAGCCACAGATACCTGTGAAACCACAGGGATAGAAGAACATCTTTTGAATTAAACTATTAACAGGCATGCCTAAAATTAGTAGTATCTTGAGCAAAATTTATTTCTGAAAAGATAATTTTCTTTTTTTGGAGATTGTCTAGTTAGTTCTGAAATCAAACTATACGTGAAATCTGAGCAAAGAGAATAAAAACAAGAATTAAACCTGGACCTGGTATTACATCACTTGTGTGTCTCAAGAGGGTGCTGGAAGTTAGTAAGACATGCTAGAAGCTGAGTGTGTGGTTAAGGGCTTTCCTTTTGTGGTTGTTAGAAATTTGAAGCATTTAAAACTGTAAATATTTTTAAACTGATTTAAGGCTGATTTAAGTGTTTAGGTTCCGCAGGACTTGGTCTAGACAAAAGGTGTTGATGACTTATGCATCAGTGTAAAACATACCAAGGAGCAGTATTATGTAATTTTTCTTTTTCTGTTTAGATTTTTTTTTTTTTATTGTACCCTCATAATTATCTTGCATGGGTTTTTTTGAGTTTTGGTTTGTTTTTTCTTTTTTTTTTATATGTCCTAGCTAATATTTTGAAAGAAATTACTGATATTTCCAGGGCAAAGAGAAAGGATGAGGTTTACTTGCTAGAAAAATGTGCAAGGATGAAAGAAAGCTGGAATCTGAAGGGATAAGAGACATAGTGTAGAGGTCAGGAATTAGAATCTTCCTAACGTACCTTATGCTTTGTGTCATGGCTAGTGCTGACTGTTCTGGTAACAGAACAGCATGAGCTTTCATATCCAATCACATCCCTTCTCCATAGGATTTGATCCACTGTGGAATCTAGGCAAAAGCAATCATCTGTCTCCTAAGCTTTTAGGAGATGGTTTTGCATAGAAACTTTCCTTGAAAACCTCTTGGCATGTGGAAAAGCAGAAATCTCAGTCTTATGGGCACAGATTGCTGGGATCAGGATTCAGATTATTCATTTGGGCAGTAGCTGTGTGTAAGAGCATTTTGAGGATTGCAGAAGAACAGGCTAAAGCTGGAATGAGCTGAGTCTGTGACTCCTCTTAGGACATGTCTGTGTGCTGTGAGTCACTGACTGAGTTTGTGAGGTGAGAGTTTTTTTGGCATAAACTAAAGTGTTTCTTCTCATCCAGAAAATGAATCACCTGCTTCTGAGTGTGTCTTTTTTTGTTAGTTTTTATGAAGTAAACAGATTTCAGAGGCTTCAATGCATTCAAATATGTGATTTAACTGGCCTAGCAGAGGACCTTCCAAGCAAAGGGAACTCATGACCTGTTGGGGCCAGTGTTTTTTATACTTTTCCCAGAAACTTGTTTGACTAATCAGAGACATTGTCCTGCTGACACTGCAACCTTATTCCCAGAAATATCACTGGATAAAAGGCACTATTGCAGTCAAAACTGCCAAGTGATTGTTTTTCTCAGTTTACTTCTGTCTGTTCTTACTTTATCCACTCCTACCTTTGAAGGGAGAAATATTGCAATGTTAAAATTGGTTAAAATTAGGAAGAAGTTCATAGGATGAACTTTTCTGGAAACATTACGCTTGGGCCAGAATTTGTCCTGGTAACAAGGAAGCTCCAGTTTGTAGTTTTCTCTTTAATTTAACTGATATAAAAACTATGAAGGTATTGGTTGAGCAGATCTGTGACAGCACGAGGTTCAGTCTGGGAGGGGACTGACAGTGCTGGCATAAGACCAAGAGGCCTTCTAATTCTGTGTCCCCTCATAGATGGTGACATGGAGCTTCACATGAGTTATAAGATACCTTAAAACCACAATTAGCTTATTTGAGCTTCTTTTATTCTTGTTCTTGGGGGAGTTCTACCTATTTTGATGTGATCATTTACTTTTTGTGTTCTCCTTTTTACATATAAAGAGAATAGGTGATTTGATATGTAGTTCATATGTTTTGTTGTAGATGATAGAAAATATAAGCAGCTGAATATGATGCATTGGAAGCCACATTAGAGGTGCTGGTGGACCCCTCTTGGCATTGACCTGGGTTTGATGTGCTCTGTGTAGGTATTTCAGGTGGCCAAGTGGTGGCTTTCGCACACTTTTCTCTTTGACTCTCACCAAGCAGCTTAGATTTCAGATTTTTCCAGCACTTGTTAGTAAAGGTGATGTTAGTGTTGACGTCATATCAAGTGGCTGATCAGACTTTGGATCATCCATTACCTATTTCTCAGCTTGATTCTGAAACAAATAATTCACAAGGCAAGAGGAATACCTACTGATCAATAAATCTATTGGGAAAGGAACTCGTTCTGACCTGGCTGGGCAGGAAACGGGTAATCCTGCTGGAGCTTTGGCCATGGCTCCTTGGCTCATTCCTTTGGTCTTGCCTCTGAGGCAGCAAAGGGAAGCACAGCATCAAACCCGAATGTGCAGTATATGTTATCTGCACCCAGACCTCACTGTCAAAAGTTGTGTCAAGTTACCTAGTGATGTAGATGGTCTAATGAACAGGGTATCCACCAATTAACTCCAGTAGCTTGTGACCAAAGGCATAAATATTTGTGATCAGGCAGACTCCTCTCCCAACTTTCAGTGACATGGGGAAAAAAAACCCTAAAAAGTAATTCTCTTTGTATTTTTCATTGCATCAGGTTTGCATTGACTTGAGAATTTCCTCAAGATGGTGGCTTTGCCACCTCTGTCACTTGGATTTTAAAATAGTCTGGTTCATATTTCTAGTCCAGCACTTAACATCGTTGCCTCAGAAGATTAGACAATATGTAACTAGCTTCACCTTTTATTCAAAAGGTACATATTTGTAGTGTATGATCAACTGCACTAAATTTCTGTTTGTGACCAGATGTGATGTTGAGATACTCAGGTTGCTCTTCCTTCATCGTAAAAAGCTGGCACTTGAGTATTCTCAATAAAACTGAGCGTGGAACTGACCTGTGATTTCAGTCCCAGAGAAGCTGATTTCTTGACTTATCAGTCATTTGGCAACTCTTGCCTTCTGCCTTCTCTCTTCCAAAAATGTGTTTGGGAAAGATTTGAGAATATATTTACATATATATTTATATATATTTTCCTTTTTACCTTTTTATCCTCATATATGTGTATCTGTAATTAAATTTAGAAGGCACTGTGAATTTTTCTGTATTGTTATTTAATATTTTGTTGGGTCAAGGACCTTCTTTTCCTTACAGTGTCTTTTGGAGATATCTCTGTTGTGGGGTAGTGAGAACATTAAAATTATACATATTTTTCATACTGAATGTATTTGAACCTTTTGTAGGATGATATAAGGTACATGATGTGTTTTACAATCAAGTATAATTACCATTGTGAGCTTTAGTCACTGGAGCTAATCAGTAAGTGTTTTTTTGTTACAGCTGGTTGACAAGTTTTATTTCTTGTCAATAAATTCTTCCTCCTATATCTTAGTTCTCTGACTAACCTGATTTTCCCATGATATGAAAAAGAAAAACAGAGTGGTGCTACAATGCAAGCTAGTTATTTGGTTTTGTATATAACAATTTCTAGGGAGAAAGGGTCAGGGAAAGAATCACTTCAGTTCTTTAAAATAACCTGATGTTACTGCATGATGTCCAGTAATTAGCTTTTTTGCAGTTAATAGTTTTTGCACATGTATAAGTAGAACTATTTGTCTTGAGTTGTTTTCGTTTTCTCAAAACATTCAACTTGTTAATCATTAGGACTTATCTAAGATTTTAAAAGTCATTGGCAGAGAGTTGCTCCTAATTAGAGAATATATAATTATATAATTAAAAATTATATTTTTATCATTAATGGTACTCTGATGAGATATTAACTTTGATCCATTCTCCTGTTTTTTGAAATTTGGCACTTCGTGAAAGATGGAGAAGCTTTTGAGAAAACTGTCTTTTTCTTAAATTTCAGAATAGCAGATTTAAAAATTTTGAAGTATGAATTCTGAATTCGAATACAGAAATTAAGATGTTTCTTAATTTACTCAGAGTAGTAACTTTCTTTTGTGTTATCACGTATTAAAATAGTCTTACAGTGGAAGTGTGAAGGAAGATTTGCTACACATGATGGGGAAAACTTTAAGAGGAGGGGGAAAGAAAAAAGGCAAGATAACTCTTTTAAATGAGGCGAACTTAAATATTCAGACACATTGGAATATTATTGGAAACAGACTTTTGGACTAATTTCCTTTTGCAACCACACATATGCTTTTCCATCATCCTCATATTTTTAGAGTGTGAGTGGAAAATAAGCATATTAGTATTAAATGCAAAGGATAGCCCTATATCATCATCACAATTTTTATACTCAGTTACCTCTTATGCAATGTTTTGGGTTTTTTTCAACAAAGACCATGTGGCAGTTAGGTACACTTATAAAACTTGGGGAAGATTAATCTCTGCCTAGAAAGATACCACTTACATAAAGCCTCATGTATATTTCCTATGGGAAACCATGCAAGTCTGTTGTATGAGTTTATTATTTATGGGGAAAATCATACTTAATGTTGCTTTTGATAATTGAAGCAGTTCTCCTTGTATCTTCAGGTCCAACTCAGAATTAAGCCCTAAAAATATTGGAATCAACAAAAGTGCTTTTATAACCAGCCATATTTTGGCACCTGTTATTTCTTTTAAGTTAGCTGTGATATTTAGTCAAGTACTTTACTTGGCAATGTTTTGTTTTTCAGGATGGGAAGAAGAAGTTTGACAAGGAAAGTGAGAAATATTATTCCATCTTAGAGAAGCACTTAAATTTATCAGCAAAGAAGAAAGAATCTCATTTGCAAGATGTAAGCACTGAATGTACTCTTACCCAGTTTCACATTTGCATAGAGATCATGATAACAAACTGGTTCTCTTCAAGACATGCTGTGTTTTGTTAATGTGAAATTGTGGTGATTTCTCATAGTCATGCTTATTGTGACTGTAAACTCTTGACTGGGATTAATACAACCCAAATATTTGTTAAATGTTTTCACAAAGCAATATTCTACCTGTGCAACTTTGTGTATTTCAAATACAGCTAGTGTTGATTGGTTGCAACAATGGAATTATATTACTACAATAAAAGTGTGAGTTTTAAAAGCTAAGTGTGGAATATTTGAAAGTCAATTAATTGTTGGGGGTTTCTTGCTATTTAATATATTAATCAATGAAATTACACTTGTCTTTCACATAAATTTTAATCTGGAAGACTGAAGTGAGATCACTTTAATGATACTCTTTTCTCCTTCTTTTTTCCTCTTTTTCCTTCTGAGATTGCAGCATCATACCCTGAAATTGTATCCACAACTTCAGTTTTGAAGAGCCTGTATGGCTAATTCTTTTCTGTTAAAAACACAAACCATGAAGACTTCTAGTTTAACAGGAGGATTCCAGGGCTTTTCAGGATGCTGGTAGAAATAATTGTGATTTGTGTTTGAAGCAAATTATAGTAAACCCAGCAATATGATATCAATGACACTTTGGGATTTATGCCAAAAGTAGCTAAAAATTATTTTGATGGGATTACTCTTGTCATGGTGGCTCTTAAATCATGGGGATTAGTTTGCAGATGGAATTTTCACCAGAGATGTGACAATCACTCAGTCACAAGTTGTAGGATTTCTTTTAATTTTTTTCAATAATTCTAATATTACCAGTAATATTAGAATTCAAATTAAATAAGGCTTAGCAATTCAAAATTTGTAGCAATGTTTATATACCTGAATTGCTGTAGTCAGTCTGTATCAGACATTGGTTATGCAGGATTGGTTAATTGTTCAATTTGTAAGTCAGAGCTTTCACTTTTTCTACATATCTTGTGTATTGATGGAGAAGCAGTTCTGTTAGAGTCTAAGCCCCAGCTGAAAAAAAAATTTCTTTCCAAAATATGGAAAAATAACTTAAGCACCAAATTGCTCTAGAATAGAAATAAAATAAAATATTTTACTCTTGAGACATGAGAATAACTGCAGTCTAAAAGTAGCAACTGAAGTGAAAAGTAACAACTGTGAATTTAATAAACTATGGTAGAATAACAGTGGACTTGACTCAAGTATATAAACTAATGAAAAACCAGAATAATATTTTCCACTGTGTCCTTAAGTGACATATCTAGATTTAAAACCTTGTAACTGAGGCTGAGGTTTTCTGCTTTCCTGGATGCCTCCCTTGTAAAGAATCGAGGGCATTTCTGTCTTCCCCCGTTTTCTGCAGCTGTAGATATGCTGAATCAGTAACACAGACTTGCCATAAGCAGAAGGTACAATAGCAAATCAGTACCAAAAGTTTTAACTAGGGAGACTTTTGGCTTGTTTCTGTACTGTAAATAAAAGGATGTCAAGCACTACTTCCTGGCCTGAAATCCAAGTGATAAGTGTTGACTCGTATCCAGAGTGGTTTGGGTGAGACCCATTTACAGCACGTATGTCCAGGATGGAGTCTGTTGGAGCAGCCCACAGCAGAAAGAGGGCATGACCAAAGAACCAAGCGTTTCTGGCGGCTGGGACTTTGCTGTTCAGTTCAGGTGATGGGGAAGTCCATGCCTCAAGCCAGTATCATGCATTTAGTGGGACAGGAATACCATTTTTTGACTGCTACAATTACACAGAAAAAAATGCTTCTTTTTTAACCTGCAATTTCCTTGGATTTATGTGGTTTCTTGATACCTCCTCACATTATGTTGTTTAAGGGTACTGGGATGAGAAAGGAACAGTTCTTGTACTCTGCTGGGCTCTTTTACATAACTCGCTTAAGTGCAGTTGAGAGCACCTTAATTAGGCATCTGAAGTTTGATGGTCCGAACATATTCTGTAGAGAGTAGTTTGCATATATTCAGCTAACTGAAATGTGTTGGATATTTTAAGAGCCCACAAGACACAGATGACTACACTTTTTTCCTTCAGCACCAAAAAGAGTAGCATCTTTTCGCTGCCTATGGAAGCCCATAGTGGAGCAGAAAATGGGCAGAATTGAGTGATGTGAGAAAGTTAATAAATTTCTGATTTTATTTCTCTGAAATCTGTTTGAGCAATCAGTCCCTAAACTTATGTGAAGTTCTGGTATACATTGTAGTGATAGCCTACATCAGTGAAAATATTACTCACTATAACTAGATATCATACACATAGAGACTAAAAATCATATACATCAAATCTCTTCGTTTTATACATGAAGCTTAAAGTCACAGGAAAACGTGAAAATCATTTCACCTTTTGAAACTTTAAAATCACTTTCAAAGCTGTTCTTACAGATCTGAATCCTTTGATGTTCACACAAATTCATAAGCTTCTACAGAATGTATGTTGGTCCTGTGTAGGGCTAAGAGTTGGACATTGTGGGTCCATTCCAACTCAGCATTGTGTGATTCTGTGATATTTGCGAAATTCTGATATAGTCTCTGTTCGCTGGTGGTTATTATGGCCTTAATTTAAGAACCCATCCATATTTAAGATGGTACTTGCTTGGTGTAAGTATCATTACAACTACAACCTGTTTAAATGCTATTCAGAATATGAATTTTTCTGAGCTAAAGTCTGAAAGAGATAATTTCTAAAACTAGATTTTATTATTTACTTACAATTAAATGTGAGAGCTGAGATTGGTCTCAAGTGTTTATTGGTACCACTTTTATGAGCAAGGGATTCTTGGATCATGTCCCGAAGTGGTGGCAACTGCTTCAGTTCAGCTATGTAGCACTGTCTTTGTGATACATTTTTTAATGAAATAAAATTATTAACAGAGTATCAGAGAAAACAGTAGCCAAACACATGAATGACAAATCGCAGAGTTAATTTTGAGATAGAGCAGTTCATTACTGGCCTTTTGAGTGCTTGATTTCTGCTTCATAATATTAGTTTATATACTTAATTTACTGATTTTTTGTTAGTTTGTTTGCTATACGTATGGGAAGGAAATGCTGGTACTGAATCACTTGAAATATATTGAGGCCCATGCGTTGAAGTAGTGTTTGAGCACTGGGCCAGGGAGGTGGATTAATATTGTTAAGAGTCTGTATGGCCAAATCACAGTAGTAGGATGTCCTTGACTAAACAAGCAATCTTAATTATATATGGTGCTATTGATGGCCAGCTCCTGCCTGAAGGAAAACACTGATTTTTTGCTTTTATACTGTTAAAAGCACTAAACCTCTTTTATGACGTGTTTGGTGGTTCAATGTTTGTTTTCAAGGGGAGACAACATCAGTCTTTTCCAATTTCCCACATTTGTTATTTTTAATGCCAGAATTGACCTAGAGAATATACAGAAGTATCCTTCTGTGTTTTAACAGGCATACAACAAAAATAGGTGAAGTGGTCTTACATTGTCAATCCATGAAAAAATTTTGACAAAGACCGTAAACCTAACTAATGCAGCCCCAAAGGGATTTGCTTGAGAAAATAATTTTTTTTTTTTTAAGAAGGATGAATTAAAATAGAATCTGCATCTCTTTGAGCATTCTCTACATGCTACACTGCTTGTCTGTTAGTTTCCTCTCCTGTGGCTCGTTTAAATTGAGGATAAAAGCCTGTTACTCTTTATCAGCTGATAAGAGTTAATTCGTTAGCTGTTTAGGCAGAAGACACTGTTCTGGTACTGGATCCCCGTGCTGGGTGGTATTAGTCAGGCACTTCTGACAAGTATTGCCTTGTAGTTCTGTTGCTTGAAAATTAAAACTTGAAAAATATTTTATTTATGAGGTTAAGGACTTAAATATGTTTACATTCCAAGAGCATGTGATTCATCCTATAAAATAATAAGTTGTAAGATGTCAGTGTTAAAGACAGCCTATTTAAGAAAGGAAAATGTTCTTGGGAAGATATTTGAAGCTAAGAAATAGATACAGTTTTCGTGTATGTGATTCTTAAACATTTCAATAGAAATAGTTACCTTTTTGTCTCTCCTCGATTCCTATGCTACTTACTTTTATTTCGTTTTTTAAACTTGCATACACCAAGTACCTGCTGCCACCTTTCTTCCCCTCCAGACTTTCCTAAAAACTAGAATATTAAAATGCAAAAAGGAAGAACAAAAAAACAGAAAAAAAAAAAGAGGAGAAAAAGCATGAGGCTAAAATGTGTAATGTTAGCTTCTTAAACTTGCATTTAGGTATTTTAAGTAGGTATTCTAATTTTCAGGAAGAAAACTGAACCCCATGAAACCTGTAAAGTAATTTTATGGAAAATCTATTTGTTATAGATGTAGGCTTTCATCATGAGTCTAAATTAATGTTGTCTGTATTTCGTTTTTTCTTTTAGGCAGATACACAGATTGATAGAGAACATCAGAACTTTTATGAAGCATCATTAGAATATGTTTTTAAAATTCAAGAAGTGCAAGAGAAAAAGAAATTCGAATTTGTAGAACCTGTAAGTTTTGTTTTATGTTCTTTAGAATGGATGCATTTAAAGCTAAAAATTTAATTTAAATTAATGATTTTTTTGCTTCCTTTTTAAGTTGTGAATGCAGGTTGTTTGTACATAGACAGACATTAAGATCTTGACTTGGGTGCTTTCCATGTTTATTAAAGGATTATGTAAGAGTTTCATATCTACTGTGAAGTGAAATGTCTGCTGACTTGAAGTGTGTATAACATTTTAATGGGCCAACATGTAATGTTGTGTCTGTGCAACACATAATGGATGTTAACTAGTGCCGTGATTTAATGGCTTAAATTTTGAGCCAGTTTTTTAATTTAAATATTTTATGTATGCAGGGTACACATGCATTCTTCTGATTTACACATGAAATAAAGTGAAAAATCAACTTTTCTGTATAATAAGTTGGTTTATTTTTTGTTGGTGGAGCCCTTTGTCTTTAGTTTACTTTGCTCATAAAGGAAAGCATATTTTGACACCTCATTCAAGATAAAGTTGTGTTTCAAAGTCCATATTTAGGTCCAGACCTAATTAGGTCCAGACCAAATTGTTCAGAAATTTCTTCTGGACTGTGTTTCCTCCCCCCTCATCTCCCAGCTATCTTCTGGGTCAGTCAGTACCAAAAGCAGTATGATGTGTAGGATGTGCTAGCATATTTCTGTGGCATATTCGTAGTATTACTGTTCATGTCATACAGGACTAGCTTGCCAGTTGCCTTGTTTAGTTAGTACCTGTAGGTAGCCCTTGACAGAGAACTTCCAATGTCATCTGTCCCTTCCCATTAAACCTACTGAGCATAGCAGAACATCAGTTGTGAAGGAGGAACATGACAAGTGTAACTTTTTCTCTCTTCACACCATCTTCCAGCTTCCTTGTAACTACTGAAGCAGCACTCTTGCTTGTGAAAAAATTGAATTATGTCTCTAACACCCACTGTCACCAAGAAGAGCTTCTCAAATGCCTTCTTTCCATGAGATGAGAATGTATTGTAAAGTGAATGTTTGACATTGATGCAAACTAATGAACCTGGATTCAGCAAGCAGTACTTACAGAAATCCTATCTTTATGGTGTACAGCTGCCAAATCTTAGGGACTAAAACTTTGCTCGGATTCCTAAATAAGAACATTTTTCTACCTGTCACAGATTAATCCAGAGTGTCTCTCTCTGTCTCCTTCTGCAAAACTCTCACATCCTGGAAAAATCTAGCAATCTTGACCTAGCTCTGACCCTAGTATAGAAGACTTTATGCTCCTTTAATGTAATAGAAACTTTCTGAATTGAAAAGACCTTGTACACTGGAAAATATTGTGCAATTGCTCATAGTTAAAATAGGTAAAATTTACTTTTAAGTGGATCAGTTTCTATGCTGTCTCAGATCAGTAGGCATTTCAGCCCAGTATACTGTTTGTTGCATACAGCTCATTACTTGTTTTTCTAGAGAAAAATATGGGAAATACTCTGGGAGGTATGGGTACACTAAGCAGTAATAGCCCTTGCAGGCAGTGTCATCTGAACTCTGGGTGTGAATTTATTTATAATCAAACTGAATATAAATGGAGCTTAAATTATACCATCAGTTATAAAATTTTAAATCTTCAAAATTCTTGATTTTATGTTTGTGGTTTGTTGCATAAAAAATGCGGGAGTGAAAGCATTTACTAAAACCCATAAGGCAAAGTATGCCAAGTAAATTGTAATACAAGTCAGCAATACCATGAGATAAAAAAAGAAAAAAAAACCCAACAACAATGAACAAAACAAACAAAAACCCAAACTAAAACAAAACCATAAGGACTTCAAAATAGTCTTTCTAAAAAGTGCTTTATGGATATTCAGATGGTGGACGATGCCTGGTTATGTGTGTTTATATAGAAATTCCTCCTCAGGAGTTCTGATGGTTGTGGGGCATTCTAGTGCATGTGCTAGTAATGTCTCTGATTTATCAGCACAGTGTCACATCTCTGTATAATTCTTGGTTTGATGTGTTGCTAATAGACTCTTTGAAGGAGCGTTTAACAAAATAAATCTGTTAGTGCAGTGAAGGAGCAAACTGTGATGCCCATACGAAAGAAGGATAAGTTCATGACATGGAAATAGAACTTGAAAAGCAAACGATCTGCTGGGCCTCTTTTCAAGACCCCCAGGTTTTCCATGACAGAGGATAGGGATTATCTGGGAACCAGAGTGGGAGAAATAAGCAAAAATTGCCAGGTGGTTTACAGCTAGGACAGTAGATGCTGTTAGAGTGGAGTATGTTCTTTCCTGAAGGAGAATAGGGAAAGATTTTAAGGTATGTGCTAATGACTCGGACACAGAATAGAGGGTTATAATATTTAGGGTGGACTCATGCAGCTGCTTCCAGGGCCCTGGGTTTCTCTGTTGTTCTCTGCATCTTGATTGAAGGGATTGCTAATGTGTACTAGGGTGAGTAACTGATATATTCCTACTTGTGATCCTCCCAGACCTTGATTCTTTCCAAGACCAACTCAGGTTTTCACAGAGGTCATGAATTTAAACTTTTTCTGAAGGTCAAACTAACGTTAAAATTTACTTTACATCAAGTCAAACAAGAAAGCAAAGTAAGTGACACTAATCTGTCTTGCTAGCTTTTCCCTTGTGAGCCCAAAGAAGCTAGTCCAAACCAACACCGCTTTCTGAGGATGTTATGCTTGTTAAAAAAATGCAAACACCTTCCTAGAGCTCTGCTTTGTCCTTTGGTGATGCCAGGACTTCCTTCTACTGTAGAAATCAGGGCACAGAGTTCATAAGCCGTAAACTATCTGAAATGTGTGGGGTGGTCCATTAAATGTTTATTTAAAGAAAAAGAAAAAGAGAACAGCAAACCAAAAAACACTGCCTGTAATTGTATGTGTTTCCATGAGACTTCACAATGAACATTAAACTTGATTTCCTCTTTCTTGAATTTTCTACATTATTAAGTACATTCACTTTAATCTGAAGAATAAGCACTATTTCCTTATAAATAAAATGAAAAGAGGGAGACAGGGACTTCTGGCTGATGTACTGCAAGCCAAAGGTTAAATTCCTCCCCTATCCGAAACCTAAGTACAGTCTTCTTCCTGTGAGAATGAAATGACCAGGCAGTCTTGAGGTCACTAGCTCTACATAAAAATAAATAAAGTCTTAGAAGTAGCTGGATTTAGTTTCAGGTTCTGCATTGAAATCCTTGTAGCTCTGAGGTGGTGAGTAGCTTTATATTACGGAGTTCAGATCACACTCTTTATTGATGTGACTGATTAGATACTCAGAATGAGGTAACTATAAGGCACTTGTTAAAATGAAAATTGTGATAGGAAAGCATCAGGCATTGTTTGTGATGTTTGATGAAAGAAATTGCCTCTTTATGTGTAAAGAGCACCTTGAAATACATTCTGAAAATCTTTGAAAGGAAAAAGCACCAATTTTCTGTTCTTGTTTTTAATGAAAAAAAAACATTAAATTCTATATTCTATTTAATATTAATTTCTTTAAAATTATGAGCCTGCCTTTAGCAGCACTAACACCAGGAACAAGAAAACCCCATTATGAGCATAAGCCTAGGGCAAAAGGCCTTGGCTTTTAGATCTCTTCTGTGCAGAGCTATGGCTGTACCTGTCCTGATTGAAGTGATTGTGGCATTGCCTCAAATGGCATAGGCCCTTTGGGTACAGGGCATTTTCTAATCCTTGTTTTGCCACTGCTAGTGACACATACTTTGAAGCAAATAGCATCCTCAGCATCACATTGTTTCAGCACAGAACTTGAATAAGCTGATCTAGGACTTGCATAATATTTTTCTTTTATTCCTATTTTTCGAAGAGCTCAGAGAATATTTGACCAAGAGGACCTCAAGGCCAGATTCTCTGCAATGCACAACTGTCAGAATACCTGAGTAGTATTTTAAACAAAATGAATTCAGATTTTTCTCAGGGTTTGTTCTGTTGTGGGGTTTTTTTGGTTTGTTTGTTGTGGTTTTTTGGGGGTTTTTTTGCTGTATTTTTGCTTTCTGATAAATTCAGCTCTGCTGCCATCTTGTGTTAAATATTTTCCTTGGTATTTCTCAGTGTACTTTGTAAAGGTGTTTTGTATGGTGGAAAATGATTTTCTTCAAGTATTGAAGATGAAATTTAAATAGATTATTGTACATTCTCCTGAAATACTCTGTAAACTGATCTTTATAACTCAGGCAGAAGCTGACACACTGAAACTTTCTCAAACTAGTTCTTTTATGGTAATTTTGATGTGCTCTAACATTGTGATGTGGCTGAAGTTTTGCTAAACACTCATGTTACTCCTGCAATACCTTTTTAGCTGAAGGGGGTGGGTTTAGCATCAGGCTTGTACTTACAGGTTATGGTAATCCTTTAGACTGAACCAAGCTAGAGTAACAACATTTGTATGTGGGGACACTAATGAGTAACTGAATCTAGACTGTGAGCACAGGCTTCACATAACTGGAGCCAGAGCAGAGCCTTAGTTATAATTTACTTATTTTATACTCTATTTATAAAAAAGCAAGATTAATTTTCTTTCTTTTCTATTATGGAATTCTTTGTAGAATTATAGAAATTTAGATTTATAGACTAAAATTATAGGAAATTATAGAACTCTTTCTACCTATTTATACAATTGGAGCTTCTTAAGATAAACTGCTGTATTTGGACCTTCCTCAGAACCATTCGAATAACCAATAAGAGACTTTCAAGGTCAGGTCCTTAGCTGAGATAATGATTTCAGCTGGGCAGGCAATTTATACAAGCTGTGGAGCATTCCACTTGACTGTGCTGCCTTTATTGTTTGGTAGTGGAATACGGTTCAGGAATTCATATTCACTGCAGAGGCCCCCACAAAGACTTGCTTTGATGTCCAAGGATCTTCTCAGTTCTTCAGGCTCTGTGACCAGTTTACTGGGCAGCTGTTGGCCCACACCAGCTCTGCCTGAGGCCAGGGTTTCAGCTGATCCTGCAATACCAGAAAACACCAAGGGCAAAGTCCTTCTCCCAGCCTTATCCTCATGTTTGCATTTGTGCCAGCACTGATGGTCTGTTAACCTTGAACTGCTTTAACTTACTAATGCAGCAAAAGAGCAGGCAGGTAAGCATGCCCTCAGCAGTGTCAGAGAGAGTAATAGGAGAGAGGAGGCAGAATAATTTAATGACACTTCTCCAAGTAGGGCTGAGAGTAAAGAAAATATAAACACAGTAAAACCTACATTTTTAAGCTATTCCGTTTACAATAATCTATGGTATTGGTAACAAAAAGCAAAGTGCATTAAATATGAACAATGGCATTTTTGTTGCCTAAGTCTAGACTACTTCAATAGTCAATAGAGAGAGATAAATGTTTCCATTGGATCATTAATCCCATTCTGAGGGAGAAGTCTGGAAAAGGACAAAGAATTATGCTCTTGAATACCTGTGGTTCTTTACTGAGTTACGAGACAGCCTAGACATCCAGTTACTTAGCCTAGATGATTAGCTTTTCAGTACCGTAATATACTAAGAAAAATCTTTCCTTTTATTAGAGGTTTTGTTATTGTACATACAAATTAATTTATCTTTTTTGTTGTTTTTTTCTTTGCTTTTTTTTTTGTTAGCTAAATTAGATATACAAAGAAAACAGTCCATGATAAGAAATTAAATGCATGTTATTTAATAGCAGGTGAAACGATTTACAGCAATGTTAAAACACTTTTAAAATTTAAAGCAGAATAAGTTGGAAGGCTTTTAAAACTAAGGGAAGGGAGGAATGCATTAATTCAAGAGCTGAAATCTAGTTGCTCCTTTTATTACTTGAACATTGTTTTAAAGCAAACTTTATTAAGACTTTTCAACTGGATATATACAGACTTCAGTGGTTCTGTTGGAGTCATTCACAGACATACCAGATAGAGTATGCATTTTGTTCAGAGCAGGAAGAAGGAGTCTGGATTTCTTGTGTTGTACTAAGCTATCCAAAACATAGTTTCAAGAGTCTCATTTGTGGAAAATAGGTCATAGCCCAAGCAATTACTATGAGGAAAGTGCAAAAAAATATTTTGAGAAAAAAAAAACCTTGAACCCTGAAAGTTTGAACTTGGAAAATGAATACTAGCAAAGACTCCAGCTGAAATACTGAATAAAATGACTAGGACGGTGAATTAAATTATTATGGAAATTACAATTTCATGATGCAAAAACTGTTTAACATTTCTTTCTCTTTCTTAAGCTCTGACCATGGATTAGTTCTCAGCAATGCTTTGCTTTTGTGCATAAAGCATAGAGTGTTCCAGGAGTTAAAAATGTATAATGCTTCTCAATTTTACCTTTTCAGCTCTTGGCCTTTCTTCAAGGATTATTTACATTTTACCACGAAGGATATGAATTGGCTCAGGAGTTTGCACCATACAAGCAGCAACTGCAGTTCAATTTGCAGAACGTAAGGATGATTTGTACTTATCCCATTTAATTTGCTAATTTAATTTTAGAATTTTAAAGTACACTCATAGCACTTTATTGAAACTCTGAGTCTTACAATGTTTTAGTAAGCTGAAATCAAATTAATATACAATTTGGTAAAAGTTACTTTTGTAAGATTAAAGTAAGATTCCTGACAACAAATAACTTTGGAAAAATTAATCCTCTGATAGTTAATTTATGATCTCTGGATCAAAATTTTGGTCAAGAAAAACAGGAGAGCAATCAAGTCTTTATTGGAAAACACAGTAGTGTGGATAGGTTTATACTTGTATAAATGCTTTCTTTTGAGTGATGCCTGTCTCCTGGAGTAAGTGAAGGTACCAAAAATGCTCTATCTGATATAGAATGATACAGTTTGTCTAATTGTCTGCTAGCTTTCCACTGTATATAAAGCATACTTGGGAAGCCCTTCTTTGGCTGCTCTCTGGGCCATAAAAGAATTGGTGGGATGTTCCTCCATGGTGAGCAGCTCTCACAAATATTGTTTCACCTGTAGGAAGGATTTCTTTTTTTTGTAGGGAGTTACTCTCAACTGAGCACAGGTACCTTTTGCTGTAGATTGGTTTGGATTTGGTAGTCTGAGCCATACAAGATCCCATTTGGGCACAAAATATGCCCAAAACTTTCATACCTATTAGAGATAAGAAAAATACCTTTAATTAACATACTTTTCCACTCATCATAACTGCTGTGTAAAAGTGTATATTTGTTTCACTGTGTAATTCAGATATTACACTTCCAAGGACAAGTATGTAGATACAAAATATCTTCACATCCTTTGCTTACACACTCTTTGCTTTTAAGACAAAAAGTGAAATTCATATTGGGCCAACCCTACATTTTTCATGCCAAGTAACATCAAAGTCCAGAAAAAATTTAAAAAAAAAAAAAGTTAAGCCCATTTTACTCTTTCAAGAAAGGACACACCTGACAGGAATTTTTGTGGCTCCAGTAGAGAGAAAGAAGCTTCAACAGTCTAGAATACCTGACATCAGCTTTTGTGCATAGTGCCTTGGCCACTGGACTTAGGGAATATGAAACAGACCTGGGAGTACAAGAACACTTTAACTGTGCTCACCTGCGTTCCCTGAGGGTTACTGGAAAATAAAATACTGACATTTTCCCTGTAGCACCTTGTTATTAGAGAGGTATATGTTGGGTCAAGGTTGGAAGAGGACTGTTAATGTAGATCTGCATTCTTAGGAGTACTGCACTCTTCCAGGTACTGCTGCACTTAAACACATTCAGCAGAAGACCTCCACAGCACCCTTCCCTTTTATGTCTTGTTGTTCATGCATAGGTATAGATTCCATTTTAAATGCTTCTTGAAGAAATAAGGATAAACCTCCTAGATGATTAACCTGTTCTTTAGGGATCAAAATGAAAATATTCTCTGACTGTAGAGCATCTCAGCCCCTTGTCCTTTCAAATCATGTGTTTTCTACTTTGTTTGCTACTAAGACTCTTTCAGATAAAGACACAAGAGGTCAGTGTTGTTGCACAGCAGTTTCACTGAAAGGGTAAAAAATGCACTTGAGAAAGTTATTTATTTTAATATGGCAAGTTCTGAGAGGAGCATCCACAGCACAGACCAAAACTGGCATTGTAAATTGTGATAAGTTGGTATCTTTTAGGCACATATCTATAGAAGCAGAATTTTTAGAGCATTTTTTCCTATTTCAAAGTTAATTCAGAAATAGTTAATTATATTAGTGCAAATTGAAATTGTAAATAGACAACAGAGATAAAAGGAGATGTAAAGTTAGGCAGAATGTATTATGATTATTTTTGTTCATTGTGTTTATACATCAGAATAACATACACATGAAGAAACAGGGGGATCAGTAAATCATTCACTCCTGTTACATGAAAGTATGAATTCTGGCTCCAAATCTAGATCCACAGCTTCATTTAGCCAGCTGGGCTCTCTTCTGACTTGCCATTCATAGCATCACCCAACCTCAGATTGAAGTGAAACAAGTTATATAGGGAAAGACAAACTGAGGACAGGGAAAATTGTGTTCAGCCTGTCTGTTGCAGCTGCCAAAAGTACTCCTCACCACTGCCTTGTGTGTTCAGGTCTTGGAGAACAGTTGACCTGAATTGCTGTTTCTGTTTTTAAAAATGTCCTACTGGTTAAGCAGGAGCGGTAACAGCCACTGGAGTAGGAGAGCAGTAGCAGACCGACAGCTCTTAACACGTCACCGTGTTCTAACATGACCTGTTGTCACTTTAACTGCTTCAGCTGGCCAGTGGCGTACCTTGTATGTCCATTTGGCTTTGTTTTCTATAATTTCATTCAGAGACCTGCCTGCTTAAAAGTAGTAATTAAGAACTTAATAGACAGGCATAAGCTCTCATCATGGGCATATTCCTTCAATGACATGTCCCTCTTGAAGGTCTCAAATCTGAAAAGTTCAGAGTAGAATTTTACCTCCCTCTCTAATAATAATGTTTGTCTTCAAAAAGGAGATTAAACATGTATTATTATACTGTACTGCAACTAACTGCATAAATGACCTGTGAAAAGTGGAAAGTATTCACTGATGTATAAAGTCCTGAGAGTATCTTTCTGACTAATCAGGATTAGAGTCCATACATGATTTTGTGGAAACATTACCGAAATCTTTATTTTTTTCTATGGGCTATAGGAACAGACTGTTCAATATCTGATCTATTAAGAACAACCTATCAAACCTCTGGCACCTCACAATAATTCTCCTCTACTATGCCATGCTAGGTGCATGGAGGGAAATCCTAGCCTCACTGAATTCACTAGGAGAAAGTGGCCATTCACATGCATACAGGTATTAGCAAGTATGGAAAACCCATCTTAGTACTGTAATTGTTTGCTTTGCAAGATGCCAGGTTATACACATGATATTTAGGACAGAAACAGTACTTCCATGCTTTTGGCACAGTTCTGCCACAGGTGACCTGTTTCTTACCTACCATATTTTTGTTATACTGAATATGAATGAATGAAAATGAATGTTTGCATAGTCCTATCAAAAAATATCCATAACAGTGCCAGTAACCTGACTAATCTGAGCATCAGCACCTGTGGTATTGCTGCAGACACAGATACACTATACATTTGTCTCTTCCACTTGTGGAGAAATCACAGCTGTCTGGATACATTAGCCTGGCTTTAACCCAAACTAGTGTTTTCTGCACTGTACTTCAGGTGGTTTCAGTGGGTTTATTACTTCAGGTTTCAGAATAAGCTGTCAGCAGTGTCTAGTTTACCCAGGCTTTTGTCTGAGAATCCTAGAGTATACTGAGAGAAAGCCTGCGTCTGTCTGCAAAGTACTGTGTAAGCGTACTGAAAGATATGAAATTGCTTCTGTCTGAGGTTAGTGACCTGCAGAAAGAGGAATGGTGCTATTCTCAGCTACACTTCCTTTACACTTGTGTACTTAAGTGGAATTCTTCGTTAGTATGTTATTCCTAGGCTTCTAGAAGTGAAGAGTATTATTCTTTATTGCCTTTTTTATTTCCTTTTGTGTCTCTGGCAAATGCTTCTGTTGGTCTCCGATACAGTCTGTTTGGCATTATTAATAATTAGTTCTTCATTGTTGTTTTAGTATTTGTATGAGATAATGTGGGGTTTTGTTTGTTTCCTTTTCCGGGTATTAGACTCGGAATAACTTTGAAAGCACTAGGCAGGAAGTGGAGAGACTCATGCAAAGAATGAAATCAGCCAATCAGGATTACAGACCACCGAGTCAATGGACAATGGAAGGCTATCTCTATGTGCAGGAGAAACGTGAGTACAACAGATACATCTTTTGATTTGATTCGAAGGGCCAAAATGAGGAAATGGTTTAGTTAGCAGGACAAAACAACAGCTCTAAGTTTGAATGGCTACAGGCTTCTGCTCTAGTTACTTTCCTAATGACTGAGAAGTTTAAAAGAAAAATAAGAGTGTGATTTTTCGAAAAGCACTCAGGGTAGCTACAGTCAGATAGAATGGTAATCACAACACTTGTAAGCAACTCAGCTCCTGCTCTCTGGGTCCTTGTGGGAAGGTCCTTGCTGTTGTTTGCCCCAGTGGCTTAGTGGTAGCAAGTTCTGCTCTGGCTGGCTGCCCCATGCCTTGCTGCAAGCTCCCAGAAGTCTGCTTTGGCTCTCTCCTGTCACCTGAACTTTCCCTGCATGAACAGGGCCTGTAGTTCAACCATCAAGAGCATCTTGTACCAGGGATCTCCACTGACCCAGACATCTTAAGAGTAAATGAGCATGCACTTAATGGGAATCAGTGATATAAGAGAAAAGTCATCTAAATACAATCTTATCATAGTTAACCTCATTCACTTTTACCCTCAGTAGCACTGAAAGTTTTAAGACCCTCCATGTTCTAATTGAGTAATAATCAGAAAAGAAACCGGTGTTAAGTGGACCAGGGCCTTGTTAATGGGGGAAGGTGAAAAGGAGTGAAGCACTGGGCACATGCTGTGCTTCATTAAATAGTGAGAGGCCAACTTGACATCCTCTTACTGAAAAGACATTGGTTCATTAGTTTATTCTGGAATAACAGTGAGAGGGTCTGTAATCACTGTGCACTGAGGAAGGTACTAGTTGTATAATTCCTTGTGATGCAGGTTTATGTTCCTAAAACTGTCATCCTATAAGTTCTTGTCAAACTGAATTAAATTAAATTGTTTGCTATTTTTGAGAGTAAATTCTCTATATATTTATTACTGATACATATCATGGTAATTTTTGAAAACAATGGTACTGGCTACAATCGAAAATCGCTTTGAGAGTGCACAGCCTTCTTATATACGCTAAAAAGAGAGAATGAATTGCCATCAGAGAAAAAATTGATTCAGAATTATTACAGGGAATCAGTTGCCTCTTGGCCACTCTGTTATTAATACTGCTGCTATTACTTTTTGTTTTCTCATTTCATTTCTGTTTCATTTTTTATCTCCACCAATGTTCTTCACCTTTCATTCTTGCAATTTTCCTCTCCATCCCACTGCAGGGGAGTTAGGGGAAAGATGGGGGAGTGAGCAAGGTGTGCATGGGTTTGGAGTATGTTAGTGGGAACCCTAAATTGGGGAATACTATTCCTAAACCACTTTTAAAAAGAATTAATAGGTCCATATATTCTGTAGTCAGAAAAAAGCAATGTCATGTTTTTCCCATGACTAACTCTTATTGACATGAATTGGAAAATCACATGTGGGTTGAAAGTATCATCTAGTCCTTTCCTATTCAGAATTTGCACAAAAGTCACAATACTGAATTTACACAAAAGTTACAATGAAATATATATCTATTTTATATATATATATATGTATTTTTCTCTGCCTTGACAGCTCTATTTGTTATAGCTTTTCAGAAAGGGGCCATATTATAATGCTAGGCTCTTAAGCATAATGCTGTACAAGAGGAAAGAAGTGCTCTTTCTTGTTACCTCTTCACACAGCCAGTGTGTTTGGTCTCTGCAGCTGAGTACCCAGAAACTGTGTCAGTGCTAGTAAAATAAATGGCATTCTTCCCTGCCACTGAGACAATCTTGTACAAAATATGCCACTCTCTGTTCTAAAATTTCCTATTCCCAAAAATAAAGAAGATTTTTCCAAGTTACCTGTGTTACCTAGTCACATTAAATGCTGCCATCATTATTTATTAACCAGTGCAGGTATAGCCGTAATGTTCTGGCCCAAGGGGAGCAGTCAGCACACTGCAAAAACCTGAATTATCCTGTTCTCTGAAGTGCATCAGCCCTCCAGATGTATCTGTAAGAATCTGGGAGCTTTTGTTTTTCTCTGCTACAGTAAACTTTTTTTCCCTGAAAAATGTGGGAGATCTTAGCTGTACTTCTAGGATGTGGAGAGAGTTCTCGAAATGGCCTCACAGTGAAGAACGTATTATAAATGCCTGTTATCTAAGCTGCATTAGCATGGACCAAGTTTAAAATACCATTGAGCTTAACCTCAAGAGGGTTTTGTGTTTAGACTCACAGTAGTGCCTGAACAAAGCTCTAGGTAATCCAGGAGTGAAAACATCTTCTGCATCAGAAATCCTATACTTTGCAGTAGGATTAAGAAGTAGTGGGATGTGACCCCTCCAGGATCAGGCACACATCCACCTGGGGATTGTTGTAGATTTCACTCATGGCCATCTAAATGGAAGAGGGTTGAATCCTTAAGTACGGTGTACTGTGGTATTGTGAGCATGTGCAACTCTCCGTTTGTGGATGTGGCTGTTGTGCACCGCTGTTACAGCCACCTCTTCCCCAGCAAGACCCCCTTCAAGGCATAAAAGGCCAGTGTTTCTTACTGGAGGGGCCACCTCTGCCACCCAGCACTTTACCGCTCATCTCTAAACCAATGTTATTTCAGACTGCAGAGTTGCTTTGCTTTCTTTCATGTGATGAAATCTCCTGTCAATATTCAACTACATAAGATTAAATTTACCTCTGAGCCAATGCCATTTTACCCACTCCTTTAAGGTAACAGGTAGAAGAATAGCCTTTCTGTGATAGTACCAAAAGCATGTTACCTTTGACAGTAACTCTAAAAGTAAAGGAAAATACACTCTGATTTTATGAGTTCATCCAGTTTTCTGCATTTAATACCAGACTTGAAGGTTTTCTTCAGAGAAAGTGTGTAATACTGAATTGTGTTTCACTTGAGTTGATAAAATCTTCAACTGTATTTCCTAGGCAGAAAAATCCTCAAGTTCTGTTCTTAGCTGTTTCCTGCCTGTTTACCCTGATAAAATGCTGTTACCTATCCAGTTGCCAAAGAAAATCAGTCTGCTGGAACTGTGTTGGGCAACCTTATTAAGCTGCAATGTTTGAAAATTATACCTGAACAACATGTTCAGATTAAAAAATTAGGAGAGTCTTCGATTTTGTAGGCTACGTGTGGATGCTGTTATGTTTCATTTTTCTATGCTAACTCCAACTAAAATAGTGATAAAATACCAAAATAATTACTTTTAATACTATCTCTCTTTACTCTAGGACCTCTTGGATTTACATGGGTAAAACATTACTGCACTTATGACAAAGGAACAAAAACTTTTACAATGAGTATAGCTGAAGCCAAATCTGGTGGAAAAGTGGTGAGTTGCACACACATGACACATACATGAGCTATATATTCCATCGTTTATATTAAGTATTTAAGAACTGTTAAAAGAAAAAAATATGAACACAGCATAAGGCTGTTTTCATAGATGAAGCAGTGCATGTCTTATGGATAAATATATGAGTAGTATTTATTTTAAAACATGTATAAACCTCATATTAACTAACTTCTGTCTTGTGGTCATTGCAAATGTGTAGGAAATCAATCAGATTTGCACAGATTCATAGAATGGATGAATATTGGGAGGAAGCTCTGGAGATCTCTAGTTTAACTCAATGAAGCGTCAGCCAGTACAGGCTAGTGAGGTCTGTGTCCAGTCAGGTTTTAGACATCTCCAAGGATGGAGCCCTCTGTGAGCAACCTATTTCAGTGTTTGATCACCATAAAATGTTTTTTTCTTAAGTTAAAATGTAATTAATTGTATATCTGTTTGTCATGGGTTTGCCCTGGGCCAATTTTCTCTTACCCCCCACACAGTTGCTACAAGTTGAGAAAAGGTTTATGCAGACAAAAGAGACTGGATTGAGGAGAATAATATTAGGTTTTATTATTAGTAAGATAAAAACTAAAGAACTATATATACTAGAATTCTAATTAGGCAAAAATGCTGTGTATTTACAAAAATACCCCTCCCCTCTTGTATCAGTTCAGGAGGAGAAGCAGTCTCTTTTCCATTTCCAGACCTACAAGTCTTTTAAATAATTTTGCAGCACTTGAAAGCTTCTCTTCTATTATCTTTAGGATGACAGCTCCAATTCGTCGCAGCTGGAACTGTCTTTCTCTCTCTCTTCTATGTTGACCTCAGGGCTGGGCCTACCCCATCCTGGGCTAAGATCGGAGGCTGGGGGGTTATCCAGGACCTGTGGGGTCTTCCATGGACTGCAAGGGGACACTTGCCTACCATGGATCTTCCCCACTGAGTCACAAGGGATAAAGCTTTGAGTCCACCCCTGTTTCTTGTGGGGTCCCTCCTCATGAGAGACAGTCCTTGATGGATCTCTCTAGCATGAGTCTACCTTTGGGCAACAGTTCTTCCATTCTCTGCTGTCCCTCAGGGTCACAAATTCAGCTGCACGAGCATGGATCTCTCACTGAGATCACAACATCCTACCTGGGCTGAGTTGCTCCAGCATAGATCTCTCTCTCCATGGGCCACAGGTGCCCAGCATGACTCTGTTTTATTTTAGGCCTTCCATGGAGTCACATTTTCTTCTTGCACTCTGTTTAGGCATGGGCTTCTTCATGAGCTGCAGAGGCTCCACTCTCCAACCATCTTCCGCAGATGGCAGGGAATTTTAGTTTTCAGTCTTTTCCCTGCTGAAGGGAGGGGAGCAGTAGGGAGAGGAGAAAAGGAGTTCCTCCCTCACCCTCTGGCTTCCCTTCTCTCTCCTGCAGCTGCCAGCTTTGACCTGTTATCTCTCTGCCAGAATTCTGTCTCGTCCAAATTCTTTTCCAAAGTTTTTTGTTTTTTTTTTCCCCCTACTCTGTTACAGGAGAGAAGGGGGCCTGGTCCCCCTCGCCTGGGCCAGACTTGGCAACAACCTTCTCTTTGTTTTCTTAAATATGTAATTGGCAGAGGCATTACTAAAACTTTTGATTGACTTTTTCTCTGGAAATCCATCTGGAAAAAACTGTTTTCAACCCTGGCGGGGAGGTGGGGTGGTCGGTAAACCCACAACACTGTTTGTGTCTATTGCTTCCTGCCCTTTCACTGGTCACCATGAGAAGAATCTGACTCAGTCTTCTTTACTCCTTCCCATCAGGTATTTGTAGATAATACTCCACCACACTAGAGCCTCCTTTCAGGTAGTTGTGCTCCAAGTCCTTAGTCCTTGGTAGCCCTTAGCTGAACTTACTCTAGTACCTCACTGTCCTTCTTTTACCAGGGATCTGAGCACTGGACACAGCATTCCAGGTGTGCCTCACCAATCCTGAACTGAGAGTGAGGATCACCTTCCTCCACTTGTAGGCACTGCTCTGCCTGGTGCAGTCCGGGAGGCTGGTGATCTTTGCAGCAAGGTCACATTGCTAGCTCATGGTCAATTTGTTGCCCACCAGACCCTGCTAGTCCTTTTCTGCCAAGCTGCTTTCCATCCTCTCAGCCTCTCCCTGTCATGGTGCCTGGGCTTATCACTATTTATGCTGAACAGTGCTGGCTCCAGTACTGACCCCTTGGGCATACTACTGGTCACTGTCTGCAGCTGGGCTTCTGCCGTGAGCTCAGCAGTTCAGAGAGTTTTCTGACCACCTGACCACCTACCTGTACTTCACCTGTACTTGTTTGTGAGGATATAGTAGGATGTAGTGTCAAAAACCTGGCTAAAGTTGAAATAAACAATATTCATTGTTCTTCCATCATAGATTGAGCCATCCATCATATTGTAGAGGGCTATCAAGTTGATCCTGCATGATTTTCCCTTCGATAAATTCATGCTGACTACTTCCAGTAACCTTTGTGCCCTTAATATGTTTGGAAATTCTTTTCATGATTATCCACTTCATCACTTTCTCAGAGAAAAAGGTGATGCAGACTGGGCCATAGTTCCCCTAAGACAAGAGGAAATGGCCTCTAATTGCATCAGGGGAGGTTTAGATTGGATATTACAAATTATTTCTTCACCAAAAGGGTTGTCAAGCATTGGAACAGGCTGCCCAGGGAAGTGGTTGAGTCACCAAAGACATGTAGATGGTTTAGTCATGGCCTTTTCCAATCTAAATGGTTCTATGATTCTGTATCCTTCTCCTTGCTCTTCCTGAAGACAGAAGTGACATGTGCTTCCTCCCGTTACTCAGAATCTGCAATTGTGTCAGCCTTGCCAACATGATCATGGTAGCCAGAATTAGGAGTTAATAAGCTTTATTCTTCATAAATCTTTTTATCTGCATGTGAGAGCTGGCACAATTATATGATTTTAAAAGTTTTGAATTTAGGGAATTTTCTGAGATATGATGATTAAATAACAAATATGTGACAGAAAGCTATTAACTACTGTCTTACTTTATATACAGAAAAAATATCATATATCTCCCTAAATAATTTCAGTCCTTGTCTTAAGACATTTTTTGACTGTTCATACAGTTAAGTTTAAGATATGAAGCCAAGTTATATAAGCATACTGCCTCTGCTAACTTCATTTTGTTTTGTTTTGTAGAATGGCCTTGTCACAGGCTCACCAGAAATGTTCAAGCTCAAATCTTGCATCAGGAGAAAGACAGATTCGATTGACAAACGTTTCTGTTTCGATATTGAAGTATATGAGAGGTTTGAATTATTTTCATTGTGTTAACAATTTGAAAATAATTGCAACAATATATAATAATTACTCCTGTAAGAGGAAGACATATTTAGCAATATGTTTGTATGCAGACAAAGTAGACTTTCAAGACTTAGAACTTGGAACTTCTTTGTTCAAACCTGGCTTTCTAACAAAATTCACTACATTGCTCATGTGTTGTCTTTACTACATTATGTTTGCATGCAGATAGAAGACAGGTTCTTACAGAACCTGTAGGAAAACTGACTATCCTCTTTTATAAACAGATCATAAATATTTTTAAAAATACCTATTAATAAGCATATTCTGCTCAAAGCTCTATTTCTTTCAGAAACGTATGGTAGTACATTGTTTTTATTTCTTGAAAATTACATCTGTAACATTTTTCTACTTATTCCTGGGTATTATAATTATATCAGATAGAGGAAAACAGCTTTCCTGTATTTAAACTATATGTATACAGTAGTTTGTAGAAGTATTTTTTCCAAAATCAGGAATAAAGAGAAATATTGAATTATTTTTTTTGTTAAAATATGATAAATAGACTGACTTTTGTAGTTGTTCTCTTAAAAGTGTTTTATGACTGTTGCCAAACTTCTAGAAAACAGACCTGTTTCATATCTACCTCAAAATTATTCCGTTATGTCAGAAACTGTCAACTTTCTCTAACTTCTGTGTCTTCTATGCATTCACATGTCAGTATGCGTTTGAATTCTAACTTTGGAAACTGTTTGAGAGAAATAGTAATTTTATTGAATGTCCGTGTTTTTGACAGACCTGGAATCATCACACTGCAAGCTTTTTCAGAATCCAACAGAAAACTTTGGCTCGAAGCTATGGATGGAAAGGAACCGGTAAGGATATTTTTTAATTTTCTTTTCATTTTATGATTTTATGGCACACATATTAAAGAAGAAGCTAGTATACGCTTCAGATACTCTGTTGCAATATGAGCAAATACAGTTCATTTATCTGTGAGACACTACTGCAAGTACAAAGTAGAAAAGGAGAACTATTAATTTAAGCCTGCAGTTATATATCATTATTTTATATTAGGAGATTCTAAATAATAATAGTTTAAGTAATAGGATACCATACTAATAGGATTCATTGTTCAGATAATATATGTAAAGGGATAGTTATTACAATAGTAAAGAACAACCATCTTTTGGGCAGTGTCGTGGAGTAAACAGCATGTCAAAAGACACTGCAGAGAGCAGAAAAATGTGCTGAAATGTACTGAGAGACAGGCTTGTCTGAGTTTCCTTCCCACTATTTGTCTGCCCTTAAAGTAGTCACTGAATGAGGGTGATGTCAGACCTGTATCTGATAGGAAAATGGTTGATCAGTTTTATGAGATAGGTAAGTGTTTTACATGCTTCTTACTTGACTGAATCACTACAGAAGTTGGATTGCTAGTTGTATTGAAATTTAACCCACTTGGACTCTGTAAATCTGACTTCTAATGCATTAGTTGCCTATGGTAGCCTGGGCTGTTAACCTGGGTACGTGCTGGAGTGCTAAACATCAAGAGATGGTAAAAGGCAAAGTTGGCATTTCCCTAGCGGCAAGCTAATACATAGCATGCTGCAACTACTAACAAACCTGGCAATAAAGAATTTAAAGTACAATTATTGTCCTGTTGCATTGTTGTTGATTGGTTGTTTTTGTTTTGATTTTTTTTTAACAGATCTACACACTGCCAGCCATTATTAGCAAGAAGGAAGAAAGTAAGCTTTTTATTTACATTGATTTACCAAATATTGCCAGATTTCTGTAATGTTCCAGTTTCTTGATATATGTGTGGGAGACAGAGATGAATTATTTTATGGTTTATTTCTATTGCTCTGAAATAACTTTGTTGGAATAAATTATTTAGTTATACAAAAGCACATCCTAAACTATGTAAACTGTGAGACAGCCTTCAACTTTTGTATTGCTGTCAAACATAAATTGAAAAAAAATTTGATTGCCTCCAAAGCTACAATATATTTGATAAATCGTTTAAGTTTCTGTCGGTAGTCTGTATACCTAAATGTAAACACATACCACTATGCTGAAATAATATTCTTATATACAGTCATAGAATCATTTAGGCTTAAAAAGGCCTTTAAGGTCATCAAATCCAGCTGTTAAACCAGCACTGCCAAGTCCAGCACAAAATCACATCCCTAAGTGCCTCATCTGCATCCCTTTAAGGATGGTGACTCAGCTACTTCCAATACTTGGCACCTCTTCTTGGGAAGAAATTTTTCCTGATATCCAGTCTAAACCTTCCCTGGCACAACTTGAGGCCATTTGTTCATGTCCTGTCACTTGTTACTTGAGAGAAGAGACCAACCCCCACCTCACACATCCTCCTTCCTTTCAGGTAGTTGTAGAGAGTGATAAGGTTCCCCGAGTTTCCTTTTCTTCAGGCTAAACAGCCCCAGCTCCCTCAGCTGTTCCTCATCAGATTTGTGCTTTGGACCACTCACCAGCTCCATTGCCCTTCTCTGGGCACGCTGCAACACCTCAATGTTTTTCTTGTAGTGAGGCGCCCAAAACTGAACACAGGATTCAAGGTGCGACCTCACCAGTGCTGAGTACAGGGAGACAATCACTGCCCTGGATCTGTGGCCACACTATTGCTGAAACAGGCCAGGATGTCATTGGCCTTCTTTGCCACCTGGGCACACTGCTGGCTCATGTTCAGCCACTGCTGACCAACATCCACAGGTCATTTTCTGCCAGGCAGCTTCCAGCCTCTCTTCCCCAAGCCTGCAGTGCTACTTGGGGTTGTTGTGACCCAAGTGCAGGACCTGGCACTTGGCCTTGTGAGACCTCACACAGTTCGTCTCGGCCAATCACATCTTTTTAGTTTTAGGTGTATATGCACCTAATAGATACACTGAGTAAGATACTATGAGATTTATGTGCGTAATTGTATTAATATTATATTAATGCATCAGTTATTAACATAATATTATATTAACACAAATATATAAAAGTAATTTAAATATATTTGTGGGTGTATGTATCTCAGAGAGAGACTTGTCAAATTAGGACATGTATCTTCATAGGAGGTGTATTTGAGACTGAAAATCTGAAGTTTAAGCAAATACATCTGGTTTTTTGTATGATGGTGTTTATTTTAACGGTGAAAAATATGCTCTTTATGATCTTCTTTATTTAAGTAGTTATTTAGCCATTTTATTTTTCTTCTTTATATAAGTGGTTAGACCAGTGGGCATTGAAGATAGAAAATTAGGGAGAAGTATATTCACTTGAAATAAGCCCACTAATTAAAGTCAATAACAAAAATTGTTTTCCTGTGTTACCATTTTATGAGTGGTTATGTGCACGTGTAAAGAACAAAGAATCTTGTTGTATTAAATCCAATTAATATATTTTCTTCATTATATAGGTCCTGAACTCTTAAAAGCATTTTGCTCATCAGAAGGGAGTACAGTAATTTCCTTTTAAAGCCACATGCTTTCAGCTGTATGTTTAGAGGAGCTACTAATTTCTGAGAAAGACAGTAGAATATTAAGCTTCTAAAGATGCACTAATGACTAGAAAGTTGGATTTGGATGCTAAGGATTTATCTACAGAAATACTATTACAGAATGAGTATCATAACCTTATGGATAAATGTGTATCAGCCCTTGACTAATATGTGAATGTAGCTAAACAGGGAGATTTTTTTTGTATTGATGTTAGGAAGTAATTACCATTTTTTCTCTTTTATAGTGTTCTTAAATGAAGCAGGTTTCAACTTTGTGAGGAAATGTATTCATGCTGTAGAAACAAGAGGTGTGTATTTAATCACAAATTATGTATTGGATTATTATGATTTCTTTTTCTGAAATATTACTTTGATTAATTCTACATGTTTTACAGCCGTGCTTTGGAGTGTGTCCATGATTTGGTTTAGACTTTCAACATTTTATCTGTGTGGTTTACACTTTCAGTTTACAACTCAAAATTGTTACCACAAGTTCCAACAACAGTTCTTAAGATACCATTTAAGTGGGTTTTTTAAACACTTTCTGTAATTCCTTGTTGACTAGATAGCTTTATACACATTTTCTCACATCCTTAGTCTTTAATTTGTGTGCACTGAATTGTTTTTTCTTGTGATAAAAACTGTAGGGAGTCTCAGCTCCCAACTTTGGTTTCAGGCATGAAACCTGAAGACTGAAAAGGGGCATCAGTACTCTCTGCTGGTGAATCTGTTTTTTCATAACGTAACTCCTATCATTTTGCACATGGTTTGTTTGAGGTTTTTTTAAATGTTTACAACTCATTTTTCGTAGCGATAATCTACAGTAAGGAAGAAATAATCACTCTTCTGATGAGGTGATATTTTACAACTCACAGTAAGTTTTAAATTACCCCTTCCAAATGGAGAGGTGTGGCTGTATCATCTCCCCTAAAATGAGATAACCTTTTTTTGAACTTTCAGTGTGTAGATCTATTTCTTAATAATCCAAATGTGGTCTCTCTGTACAATCTTGAGATGAACATGAATTCAGCTTCTCAGTCAACAGTGTTATGTAGCTTTTAAATCACTGTGGACTCAAAGCTTGCATTTTTCTCTGGGGGAGTGAGAGGTAAAGAGAAGGTTTTAAAACCAAACACCTAGGTTATCTAAGTGAGGTCAGATTTTGGAATGTTGTTTTTCAAAGGAAAATCAGACAATTTTTAAAATGGTAAGGCTTGAAGTGAGGAGAATGGAAGACACTTAAATCCTGCTGATTTTAAAAGGTGGTTAAAAACAATAAAATTATCATCACTGAAATACTTACTGTGTTGCAAATGTCACTTTTGAAACATTTTTTTTAATTATCTGTGCTATTAAGAAAATGCCTAACAATTACAACTTATAGGTAACGTATACATTTTCAACTGACATGTTGCAACAGTATACAGTATATGTTTTGTATTTTCATATTACAGCATGTACAATCATTTCTCTTATAAATGTCAGTCAGATCTTAACTGGAAGGGATGATGGTTTAAGCAAACATAGATGCGTAGTAATTCCATTGACTTCTAGGTAATACAACCTTATTGATGTGTGATGTGTTTTCAGACTGCTTTTGGGTCTTATTTTTCACTTTTTCCATGCATTACCTTGTTGTTCGCTAATATGTGTCATTTCCACACAGAAGGGTTCTGTTAATGTAAAATTATGCTTAGTGTATAATGTGGTGTGGATTCAGTGGAGTTCATTTGTTCTTATCCCAGAAGAGAATTCAGTACTCAAGAACGCAGTACTCAAGAATATAATGGTACAGGTTTCCATAAATGCATTTAGATGTTCTGGAAACATACACCAAGGATACATCAGCGTATATTGAAATAACCCTTTTTTCATTAATTTCATTTACTTTTTTTCCCAACATAGGTATTACAATCCTGGGATTGTACAGAATAGGTGGTGTAAATTCCAAGGTGCAAAAGCTGATGAATACTGTATTTTGTAAGTATCTGAAATGAACCTTTGTCAGTGTGCAGTGTGTGCACTGTGGTCCTTTTGCCTTAACTGCTGTGCTCAGAAGAGTATGTCATGATATTTACAATTTTGTATGTGCTCTTACTGCCACTAATTTAATTTAGAATGAGTGATTCATCTCTAGTTTCTTGTGTGCATTAGTATTCACTTCTGCATTTTATACATAAGCAAATCAAAAATAAAAATGCATTTCTTCTTTTATCTTTAAAGTTCTATTTATTAATATATATTTGGCATGTTTCAGAAGTTCTCCAAAGCTTAATTCCATAATACATCATGAGTCAGCCTAATAGACAGTTGTTGCAGTCTTTCACTGTTCTTGCTGATTTGGTGCTCCTATGCCTGTGTTTGCATGTCTAAGGCAAATACATTAGTAATTCTCTGTGGACTTAGGCTTACCTTTCCCTTTGACACAGTGTATAAACTTAATACTTGCAGTTACTAAGTATGACTGCTAAATTTATTTTTATTAATATTCTGGCAGAGATTAAAAGATTCAAATGGCTAATAAGTAATTCCTAGAGCTAAATGGCTAATTTAGTAGCTTCTGTTTTGCTGCTTTTCTAGTTATTGTGCTAGTCAAACTATAACACAATCATAATTTAATTTTCTGCCAGCCCCTAAATCTCCTCCTGATATGGATATTGATATGGAACTTTGGGACAATAAAACAATAACAAGCGGACTAAAAAACTACCTCAGGTAAGTATGAACCTACCGTCTCAGTATTCCTTTTCTGGTCCATTAGTCTTTTGCTTATTAGTATCATATTACATTTCTTGTATCCATTAGCATGGCAATAATTGAGTATATTATTATCCTGCCGAATATCCCTGTGATTATGTGTATTAATGCACACTTTCTACCTTATTAAGCCCTAAATTTGGTAGAATTTAATTCGTTGCATGTTTTTATTTAATTTTTTTTAATGTTAACCACATGGGCAAAAGATTGCTTCTGCAACCCACTATACCATGTTTGCACCTGTATTTAAGACAGAAAACAGTGAATCTCTGTGCTGATATCAGTGCCAGTAACATTTCATGTATTAACTCACATGGTGACTCAAGATTCAACTCAAACTGATTTTCAGACTATGTCTATGACTAAGTTATATACTACTTGTAATCAGTCATCACTGAATTGGGTTTCCTAGGACCAACAGGGGGGCTATCATAATCACAGTCATAAAACTTTAAAATACTTTGAGTCTGTTTTAAATAACCTTTTAATATGTTTTTTTACAACCAGGTGTCTTTCAGAACCGCTGATGACTTTCAAGCTGCACAAAGATTTCATTGTTGCTGTTAGTAAGTAAAGTGATAAATACACTTTTGTGAAAGTAATATTGTTTCTAAACTTTGATCTCCACAGTCACTATCTTTACTTTTTTCTTGCACTATTATTCAGTGATCCAGCCCTCAAAGCAGAGAAGTCACTCTAGATGAAGCTGTTCAGTGGTTTGTTCTGATCTTTTTAGTGGTTCTGTGCGACTGCCTTCTGCATGAAATTTTGAACCTTGATTTACATGTTTGTTTGTGTCATATGGGCTGATAATTCTTTTATAACATTGATCCCTCTCATCCAGGGACCTTTATTTTCCCAGTTTGTCTTGAAAAATTAGAAGTGGGGATAATTATCTCCTTTCAACAAATGGAATAATTAGATCAGGTGACAGCAGATATTGTTTTTCTCATGACTTCAATTTAGAATTTGAAGTTTTCTCCCCATTTCCTCTTGTCTTGATAAGAATAAAAGACACTGAAGAATTTTAGATATTTTAAAAATCAAGGAGCAAAATCTTAGATTTCACTGAAGTGACACATCGGGTCAATATTGCCATTAATTTTGTTGGTTCCAGTGTTGGTGGTAATTGCTTTAGGGGAATTAGTTTAAATACAGATTTCAGAATGTAATAAATATAATCAAATTTTCCTCATCATTTTGAAGGCTTATTGTGTTTGGCTCCTCTTAATGCATGTTTGTGTTCACATACAGGCATTGATGCCATGTGTAGTCACTTCTTAGCACATGTTCTGATTTATCAACAATTTGTTTTCTATTTGATAGAGTCAGATGATCAGAACTACAGAGTTGAAGCAGTGCATGCACTTGTGCATAAGTTACCAGAGAAGAACAGAGAGATGCTGGACATCCTTATTAAGCACTTGGTCAAGTAATTATTTTTATTTTTCTCTTTGATATTATTTTAAGATTTTATTATTTCTGCTTTAAATTTGTCAGTGTTGCTTAATCCACTCTGTGTTGAAACAATGACACTTGAAATCACATTTAATTTCTAAAATGCTGTTCTGAACTTAACTTGAATAATATTCTGTACAAACAGAATGAAAAATAGAGAGTCATAAATCATAAAGAGTCACTGTCTCAAAGTCCCACACTGTTTCACAAAGGAGATGGGCTGATGTGGTAATACTCGTCCTTCACATTTGATCTTATTTTTCTCTCTAACAACTCTGAAGTATAATAACATTTGAAAGCACTAATTTAAAGTATTATTATTTATATTTTTGATATTTACATAAATGCCCCACTTTTGAATCTCCTGTAACACTCCCATGAGTATTAACTGTCAGATAGAAATAATTTTGCATTTCTTTAAAACAATGACCTGTCTTTATTGAATTACACTTGGCATGTGCTGTGAGACAAAAAAGGACAGGTTTTTATTCTCTTACGTCTCTCTGTATCACTAGCTGCGATTACATAACAATATTGCATTTTACTTTATCCTGTTTCTGCATCAAATGGTACTTGTAGGTTTTTTTAAATCTGTAGTTAGTTTTCAATGGTATTTGCTAAATACTTTTTAATATGTATTATTCTTTCTGATTTAGGATGCTCTATACTTTTTAGTACATTTGTCAGTGATCTGGGAGTGTGAATAGTGAAACAGGAGTTTTTCAGTTAAAGTACACGACTGAGACATGTAGAAGACACAGGAGAGGAGTCCATATTGTTTTCATTCCAATCACTAAATCCCAACTGTTTTGCTTTTTTGATCTGTCTACAATGGAGCCTAATGCAGTTTTGGTTCCTGTTATAGAAATGAGAAGTTTGAAAATTTATTTGACAGGAAATTATTTAGCTCTAAAAAATGATTTTTAGCCCTTTATGTCATTAGCCCCTGTAGAACTAACATGATAGCAAGCTGCTGTGAATGCTTCCATTGCAAAAAGGCAGACCTTGCATCTCGTTGGGGTGATGCAGAGAACCAGATGGAAAAAAGTTTCCCAAGTTTCCTTACTCACAGAATTGTTTGATTAGCTAAAAACTGTAATATCTGTAATATCCTTTATAACCCCCTATAAAGTTAAAGCATTTAATGAGGGCTTAACAATTTTGTAAAAGCTGCTGGTCTGGAACCCTCAAAGTTAGAGAGATACATGCATAGGAACTGACTTATTTGTAGGCAAAATTAGTGTTAGACAAGCATTGACCTCTTTTCATGGCCTCTTTATTCTCAGTGTGATCTCAGATGCAATTCCAAAGAAAATCACACAGTATTGCTCTTTAATTGTTCCCTTTAACTCTTGCCTACGTCATCTTTGTTGTGATTCTCATTTCCTGTAAATGTAATCTTGGTTTGACATGGAATGCTTTTAGTAGTTTCTTTCCAACATTTAATTCACCCCTTCTAATTTCTCTTATAATTTGCCAGTTGTTGTTTATGCTAGCAATTCTAATGAGACTGAAATCAAAACAAGTCTCCTGAGTGTATTAGTCACCTTCCTTCCTCATTTTTTTCCTCTCACTGTGCGGGGATTTTTCGAGGAACAAATGGCAGGTGAAGTGCCTAGTTTTATGAAAACGGGAAAATTTGAAAAAAAAATCTAACCTCCTGTTTCCTCATTCTTTTGTTAAAAATGCAGTTTCAAAGTGTACATCCTTTTTGTATTTTTTTTTTTAGCTGTTCAGTTCCTTTATATATGCTTTTGCATCTTGGTGAAAATACTATACCTTTAACTATGAATTGTAAAATAAGGATATTGTTTTATCTTGATTTAATTCATAAAGTCTTTACATATCTGCCTACCTTGAATTTTATGTCACTGTGTAAAATTAAATATGATCTAGATGATGTGGGATGTAGATCATACTGAAAACAAACAAACAAACAAAAACTAGCAAATCCTGAAAAGCACCCTGGGGAGGGGTGATACTGCATGGATACATACTTAGTGAGTAACTAGGCAAACACGGGAAGTTTGGTGTTATTTTCAAATAGGTAGCTGATTTTTTTTCTTTTTAAACTTCCCTAATAGTCAAATTACCTGTCTATTCTAAAGAATAAATCGTTCTTTGGTATGATTTAATAATACAGTATTTTTCTATGGTAGATATTTGGGAGTCTGCAATCTAGCAGTATCAAAAAATTGCTGGTGATACATCAAAGAAGGAGATTTTGAGGAGAAAGCAATGTCACCTCAATGAATGCCCTAGAGCTACCCGAAATGCATGATTACCTTGGCCTGTGTCTGTGCAGTAGCCCAGCAACAGTAGGACCAGGTCGGGTGAAAGTGACAATCAAAATGATCCATTTACAGCCCTGGGTTCTTTCTCTTTTGCAAGAAATTGAGCTTTTAAAATGCTTTGTAGAAAGCCCTTTCTGGTTACAATGTTATTAAATTCACCATTTCTTTTATTAACCAAGCTACCAAATGTGTTACCAAGGAAACACAAACACCAGACCAGTATTACCTTCTCTCTTACAGTATAAGACTAAAATGTTTGTGTAACAGGTCTCTACAGTTACTGTGCAGCTCAGAGAAGAGTAACATTGCAGAGCAGTTATTTAAGGTTTTTCTAGCAAACCTAGAGCTGAGTTATTCAACATTCCATTTTCATTAAAATACTGGTAGACTTCCCAAACGCTCCTTAGTCATCTAAGACAAACATAAGATCTGTTTCAGAGAAAGTTAGATTAAGATAATTGGCTAAAAATGTGCTTTAACAAGGGAGCCATGACATGGCTTCCAAATTATCATCTCTGCTAGTGCTACTCTGAGGTAACATTTGGGAAAGTTTTGACATAACTTAATGAAGCAACATAAGAAACATGTAAGAAGGAAGGCGTTATTTACTTGCCTCCAATACAAACCCCTTTCCCATAGTTCCTTCTTCTTGATGTAAATGGGGTGCTAAAATGTTCCTGTCCCAAATATGAGGGGAATGTTTTATAGATTTTACTGTTTCTAAATTTTAAAGGCTACAAGAGTTTATTTAATTGTGTAGGAAATTGCTAAAGATGCTCAGATTGACAATGGTGGGAGATAGCAGTGAGAAGGAAGAGGAAAGTGTCAACAAGTGCCTTGATAACTAATTCCATTTGGTAGCAGATGCAGTAAAATTAAGCATTAAGGCATTTATAAAATCTTGACTTGGCATAATGTTCCTCAGACATGAGGAAATAAGACAGCTGTGACTGGGGAATCACTGGCAGTTATTTCAGAGGGTTTATGATGATAGGGCTTTTATTTAGCAAATCTTATTTGTAAGGAGAGAGATGGGGCATTTAGCTTTACTGATTGATGGTTTTTATTTTGCTATCTGATAAACTGTTGGTAAAACTAAGTTTCTGAATTCTACATTAAGAAGAAAAAAAGAAGAGGTAAAGTAAGTTACAACAGAATATACAGAAGCAAAAGGTTAATACATTTAAAAGCCAGATGTCATTATGATCGTCTAATGTTATCCACCCACAGAAACAATGATTTCACTGAATCCACTAATCCTGTATTTTCATCACTTTAATAAAGAGATCCCATTGCAAAATAAATCTTTGCAGTAACTAAGTTTCTTTCCTTTACGTGAAAACTAAGGTATATGGCTGACCTCCGTTATCACATACTATTTTCAATCAATCCAACATAAAGTATTTAAATTCCTGTAGAACCATTGGAGAGAGATAGGTGCCTGCTGTAAGACTCCTAAACTTTAGGTAATCTGGATCTCTCTGTGGAGACCTCCAAATATAGTTGCCTTTTCCTATCAGTTTTGTCAGGAACTGAAATACTTCCTCTAGGAAGACGTGCCCATTACCATTAAGTTATTGCAGGACAAGAGCCTTAATGGAAATATAGTAGTTGTACTACACTGTATTTTGACTCTAGTAAAAGTGGAAGTTTTAAAAATGTATTTGAAAAGGAGGCACGAACTTGGAATCTCGTTAGAAAATAGTCTTAGGGTTTTGCCTGTTTAAACTGTAGTTTAGCAAACCAATTAATTTGCATATTTTTTGTATTTATTTAAAGGGTATCATTGCACAGTCAGCAAAATCTAATGACTGTATCAAACCTTGGTGTTATCTTTGGACCAACTCTGATGAGAGCCCAAGAAGAAACCGTGGCTGCTATGATGAACATTAAGTTTCAGAATATCGTCGTTGAAATTCTGATAGAGCATTATGAAAAGGTAGAAAGAAATTATCTGGCTGTTCGGTTATGAAATGGAACTAAGATCTTATTTTCATTACTATCATTAAGTTCTTAAGAATGAAGAGTCCAACATTTGTAGGTCATTGATAGAAATAATGCCTGCTTCCCACCCTGTGCTATGGATCTGTATTCTTAGCAAGTCTTTTGGGAATGTGCAAGGTACAGATCCAAGGCATGATCTCCCATGCTTTGAAAGAGTTGCTCTGACTCTTCAGTTGCTTTCTGAATACAGTTGTGACCTCCTGAATCTAGAAACAGAATGAGAAAGTCATAACTTTGCTCACGTCTCATCCATCTCTCTTACGCTACCAGTGGTACTGACGGTTTGGTATCATCAGTTGTATTTCATGGGGACTCCTGAAAATGGATATGATACTGATAGCCTTCTTGGCTTTGACTCCAAAAATATATATTGCATTTTTGCAACATTGAGTTTTCCCTCCAGGAAATAGAAGCTCTTGCAATACAAAGACTATTTCTGCACAACCAGTCTCCCTTGCTCTATTTCTGTGTCTTCAGACACATTTTTATATTGATGCGCTACTCGCTAATGCTTAATACAGCTTTAATGTACTTGAAGAGCATCTCGAGATGTTCATTAAAGTATTTCCTACTGTGCAAGTATATTTGCTTTCTTCCACTTCTGTGAATGGCATGGAGGTGACTTTTTGTGGTTCACTTCATCTTCTTTAGGGAATGCCCTATTGCTAGAGGGTCCAGAAATCCTTGTAGAGATATCTTCTCTTATAGCATGGTAAAAGATTTTTTTCTGCTGAAATGAAAAGGGCAAAATTGACCAGTGGTAGCAGTGGTATGCAAAAGGTAAGAACCAGGAGATGCCTTAAATATAAAGTTGTTCCTCATCAAACTTGACTTGTTTGGCCAAATAAAGTGGTTTTCTGAAACGCAAACTGGATTGTAGTAAGTTACGACTATAACACATTTCTGTGACATATGAAAACTTTCACTGGAACACAGAAAAAAAAATCAACCTTGCCATAATATTTTTTAAAAATATATTACTTCTTGGGCAAGAGTCAGTAGTAAGCACCTATTTTGTTTTACGATTACAACTGTAAAGCCCTTCTAACAAGGGCTAGAAAATAAATCTATTTCAACAAATATGTAATTAATACAGATACTAAGTACAGCTCAGTACTGTGGTTCTTGAGTTGTAAAATGACATCAGAACAAAGCTTCTATTCTGCGAATTTACTATTTCACAATGTATGAGACTGTTACAGTGTTAATTTCAGGCACAGTGCTGAGGACAACAAATTGATTAATAATGGAAGTGTAAGACTACCTCTGTTTACTGTAATTTTTTCTCTTTTTTTTAAATCATGCAGATATTTCACACTGCACCAGACCCCAACATTCCTCTTCCCCAACCTCAGTCCCGATCAAGTTCAAGAAGGACAAGAGCCATTTGTCTCTCCACAGGTCCACGTAAACCCAAAGGAAGATATACACCGTGTCTAGCAGATCCTGACAGTAAGTTTGTCCTTCCAGGCTGGTTGTCTTCCTTTTTATGTCTTGTCTTTTAACTTCACCTGAATAATATCCAGTAGATGCTGTATTCCAATAATCATAAGCATAACAGATGGGGTTTTGTCAGCTTTTTAACCTCTGTGAGTCACAGCCACACAGACTCACTGCATTCCTCACTTCTCTCAGATGAGGAAAAATGTTTGGTTTTAGGCAAGTCTTGCATTGCTTACATTGTTCAACATCATTTAAAGTAGACTTTATATTCTAATCTAAATTTAGTCCGCTTTGAAACTCAAAAGTTCATTATATGAAGTTTCCTTGCAAGATGATTGACAAGGTTGGGAAACTGTAAACACAGTCTTTCCTCTCCTCCTGTAACAAATGTAATTTAGTCAAGTTAAGGAGACCAAACTCATCACTTGGGTATTTTCACATGCATTAAACTGTGGCCATTGGTTCAAAGTCAGCAACTGCCTAGGTTGCCAAAACTACTGAAACTTTGTTAGGTTCATATGGCTTACAGTTTAACAGCAGGGAGTTATGTCTATAATCAGTTGATACCTAGAATGCTTATTCACTTTTATGTCGATGTGACTATTAAAAAGTTTCACTTAATTCATTTTTATCTAATAGACCACCACTTTTTTGCTACTGGTTGTGCCAGTAAGGAGTAATGAAACTTTACAAAAGCTTAAGTTGCTAACTTAAGTTCCACTACTGCATAAGACTTCCCAAAGAACTTAGGTGTCCCTTGATTCCTCAAGAAGATTTACAAGAAACTGGTTCAGTAAGTTAATCCACAGTTACGGTGTATCCGTTCTTGAAGATCTGTAGTAATTCTGAAGTCTGTAATGTTAGGAAATGTGTCCTATGGCATGAGAAAAGAGATACAGATTTCAAAGGGTAGAGAATTATAGAAAATTATACAAAATGCATCTGGCAAAAAACGTATTAGCCAATCATGCAATTTTCAAGGGACTAATGGTCTCTAAAAGGACGAGTCTTGAAGTTGTAAATAAAGAAATGAATTGTTCTTCTTCTGCAGGAAACCACAGGTTAATGAATTTGATGACAAGTAAGGTACAAAAGGGCTAAAGGTGACATGAGAAAAATGCACACGATTAGAAAATGTAAATTATTTTTTTCTCTCTTCCCTCCCCTCCCCTCCCTCCTCCCTAGGTGATTCGTACAGCAGTAGCCCAGACAGCACTCCCATGGGCAGCATTGAATCTCTCTCTTCTCACTCCTCTGAGCAGAACAGCACCACCAAATGCACACCCTCTCAGCCAAGGGAGAAATCAGGAGGGATTCCATGGATTGCCTCTCCTGCTTCTTCTAATGGCCAGAAAAGTTCAGGCCTTTGGACTACAAGTCCAGAATCCTCATCAAAGGAGGATGCAACCAAAACAGATGTGGAGTCAGACTGCCAAAGTGTAGCTTCTGTCACGGGACCAGAGAATGCCTCTCCACCAACAGACCTGACCAAAAAGAGTTCCTACAGTCTGTCTGGGCTGAAAAGGTCTTCAGCATCTTCCCTTAGATCAATTCCATCAGCTGAAGGTAACTTCCAAGGTCTCTTAGCACATCAGTGTTAACTGATGCATCAGAAAACAAGAGAGACATTTGAAAGCTAATTATACTCAATATTTTTTTAATTTTTTAAAATTTTGTAGTATGTTCTTTCAGTTTGCAAACTGATAGAACATATTTCCATAGCATGTTACCTGCACATTTTACACAGCTTACAAGATATGTTTCTCAGAATTTAGATTACTCTCTAGCCCTCTATGGTTCATCTATAAATTATAATTTATGATATAGAATAATACTGTAGATTAGCAATATTAATAATATAGGTATTGTTCCTATACTTTGGGATCTCTTTATATTATGTCAGCTTTTAAAACATTTTAAAGTATCAGTTGTTCTTTGGAATAAAGAAAGAGAGAAGCAGATTGCATTTCTTGTCTTGTAGAACATAAAAGCAAAAAAGGCAGCAGTCCACCTTAAAGAACACACGGGGCCATGCCTTTTATTCATGGAAGGGACTTATTTTGTGTGCAATACAGTCTGTACACCTACAGATTTGTTTTATCAAGTTACAATAGGAATTGTTTTAGGCAAGTCATGGTCATTTATTCCTAAATATCTTTTTTAAACTTCATGAAGCTTCTCTGCATACTGAAATATTAATTCCACCAGTTAATGTGGTATGATTTCATAGTGGTTCCTGCTTTGATGAGATGATTTCCTGAGAACCCTTCCTGCATGATTTTTTTCTACAATTTTATGCAGTGTAGTACTTTGTAAATCTTTTTATTGTCACTTTTTAGTGACTGTATTATCTTGCCATTTAATTGCAATGTAATTTTTTAGCCTTCTACATTTTAATATAATTTCTTCTTTCTTGCTGTTGGTTCTTCTCCCCTGGCTTAGTGCCTTGAAGGCTGTTTCTTCTCTCTTAGTAAGTAGTTTCTCTAACTTTTTTGACTCCTAAAAAAAGAAAAGAAAAAACCAAGAGCAAAACCTTTGCTTTGCATGTTACACATATTGTAAAACAGTTTCAAATTAGCTTTAATAATTCTTATAATTTTATTGTTTTCTTTAGGAAACAAAAGTTGCAGTGGATCTATACAGAGCTTATCTTCAACAGATACCAAAGATACATTAAAGGCTCCACCAAACCCTGATTTGCCTCCCAAAATGTGCAGGAGATTAAGATTAGATACTGCATCAAGTAATGGCTATCAAAGACCAGGATCTGTGTAAGTCATTATGGCCCTTTGGAGATTTGTGTTGTTACAGTATTGTCTACTATAAAGTGATTCCAGAGAGGTACATAAGTAGTTGAAAAAGCATCCATGAATACTTGATTTTAATATTGCTGTATTTGTGAATTAGTTATCTAGTTTTGTTATTGTAAACAAAGGAGACAGCACAAAGTCTGTGGAAGTCAGTTGAAAGATTCCCATTGACCTTAGACTACAGATAAGGTGGAAATGTATCTTTGGAAAGTGATTATTATTATTATTATTATTATTATTATTATTATTATCTCTGTCACTTCTGGGATTTATTGTTTCAAGGAGCAGAAATGCTACTTACTGACCATGCTGTTACATCAGGAAGACCATCAGATTTTATTTGAATAAGTCCAAAGTTAGAGGAAGGATAATGAAAAAAAAAATCGGCTCTGAAATTTCTTCAGTTTCTGAATGTTAAATAGCTGATTTTTAACAGCTGGGGTTTGGAAGGGGGGAGGTTTATGCTGACAGGAGGATAGTTCTGAGCAATATAGGTTATAATTTACTTTGTTGAGATTTGGGTCAACAATGTTTCTCAGTGCTTTTGGAAGACTTCAAAGTCTCTGCTGTAATTCTGACTTTGACCTGGATATCTCTGTCCCCATGAACAAGTGATTTCCAGATCTGCAGAGCACCAAGAAATTCTCCAAATACTGCAGGACATCATTCAGTCCCTCCACTTTTTAAACTGAAAGGGATCACAGTAGTCATTTAACAGACTGTTGTGTCTTACTTAAACAGAGAATCCTGTACAGCTTAGAGTTCCAGCATGGTAGTGACAGACTGTCAGTAAAAGCATTTCCAATATAAACATAGGATGTTGAGATTTCTATTGGTGACTCAGCAAGGCACTAGAGCATGGGAAAGTCAGTGGCCCCAATTAGGTTATGCCCTTAAGAATTCTGCTGAATAGGGATGTAAATTCAGCTTTTGAATTTCCTCTCTTTCTATAAGTGAATAATTAAAACAATTTTTTAAAATATGGCCATGTCTTTGGATGGTTAAAAGTGCAAATAGTTTGTGTATTTAATTAATGGCTGAAGTATAAAGCAAGGTGGTGCTTTTATTTTCAGAGTGGCTGCAAGAGCACAGTTGTTTGAAAGTGCTGGTTCACTTAAACAAGTTTCTTCAGGACGGTAAGCACTTCATACCATTTAACATTCTGTGAAATCCTTTCTGTTTTGCTGGCTTCAAAGGTTCACATTTATTTGTTGGATTTGATTCATTCTAATATTGAAGGAATTTAGAATGTTCTGATAAGAGTTTGTCTAGGAAGCATCTACATTACTACCCCAATTACAATTAACAAACTAAAGCAAATAATCTAATAAATGGATATGGGGAAAAAGGCTGTCTCTTTTTTTCCCTGTTCCTGCTTTTTAAGTTCTTTGACACAGATTGCAGGTTTTTGTTCACCTCTTTTGCATCAGGAACTTTTTGGGACTGTTGAGGAATGAAAACAAGATGTCAATACATGAATCCAAAGGTAGTAACCTGAAGTAGCACAGATATGAAGGAAGATGCCAACATGCGGAGATGTGTGGCCGTGGAATGTGGCTGTCCTCTTGACAGAACTAGCAGGGGAGAGAAAAGCCCGCCGATTTTGTGAGAAAAGCAGCTTATAGGAATCAAGGCTGTTCTTATTTTGTGTAGTACGTGAACTCTAAGATGACCAAAAAAGAGGGTGGCAGGGGAGGCAAGGCATATGAAAAGAGCAGGGCAATAATTTAAGGGAGAAAGGTATAAATGAAGGGACTGGAATGCTCTTAAGCCAGTGCCTTAAGCCGAAAGCAATGACTGCTTCTCCAGTCCTGCATCATTTCGCCTCCAACACTGTTCCTTCTCTTCCTTTGTATTACTTCCTTCTTGCAAGCTCTCCCCTGTTGTTCCCTCAGAGCCTGTGCCACCTGTATCTGTATATAAAAAGCATGTAAGAAGCAAAAATCTAACAAAGGAAAAATGTAGCAGTTTGATAATGGATATGGAGAGCGGATAACAAAGCCAAAAATACTGAAAGGCTGAATAGCTCCTCTACTTAAGCCTTCCTAAGAGGATAAAAGAACAACAGTAACAAGGAGAATGGAAAATGAGAGGTCAGCAGGCAAGATGAGGAAGAAATTAGAAGTAGCTCAGCTGTTCTTACAGTCCTCCATAAGTCTGAGCATGATTTTGCAATTCAGAGCTAGTTTTTATTTACTTGCGTGTTATGAAGGCTGATTTAAAACCTTGGGCTAGTCTTTTTTAGTGTTTTGTTGGGGTTTTTTTCCCTGAAGTATGTAGAAATTGTGGTAATTACATCTTGATCCACCCAGTGGAAAATTCTCCTGTGTTCATAACTACTATCAAATGAGTATATGTGGGGCAGAGTGTAAGACAATGTATTTTTAAGCTACCTGGTTTGATACCAGAAATATTCAAGTTAAGGCAGTGCCGGACTCCATGCAAGGGTAATTTACCCTGCTAAAATAACTAGAAATTTATTATTGTTCAAGTCTCCCTCACTGTGGTATTAAAATACTGTGTACACTGGGACCAATCTCTGTTGCTAATCTGGTGTGTACTTGAAAGAGGTGAAGGAGTTTCCTTACTATTTTCAAAAATATTGCAGTTAGGTAACACTCTTAGTCAGCCCTGAGGTCTCTTTATTGCAGCTTCTGTACAGAAATACACATAATCTCTGACTCTACATTTTCTTGACTTGGATTCAGAGGTATGCAGAAAGACAAGTCTCCTGAAGTAAGGAACTGCATCACAAGAAGAATAATTTTCATTAGATAAAAATAGGAAGGAAGAGTAGGTGACAGTGAATGGTTTTACTCTTCAGCAAGATCTCTAGGTGCTAGGATGGGACTTCAGTAGGAATAGACTGACATGAAGTCCTCTAGACCCATGCTCCCCTCCCAAACATATGCTTAAATATCCTTTTCCAATAATTTTTCTGTTTTTATTTTCATGCTGTATTTAAACATCTGGAACGCCTTGTGCAGGCCAGACCAGTACTTTCTGTTCAAACTTGGTTGTAAATCTGCCATTTCCAGGTCTCTATAAACCTTTCTTCTTCCTGTAGGATAATATTAACTGATGGCTTATCTGAGAGAGATTCATACATGTTCCCTCATTCCTTCCTCTTTCTGGCTTGGTCTTGCTAGACTAAAAACTCTTTAGGGCAGAAGCATAGTTTTAAAGCTTGTTTATATCTCTCAAAATAGTTCTTAATACTATTATTATTATTATTATTATTATTATTATTATTATTAGGGCCTCAGGTATTGTTGACTGCATATAGTCAAGCAAAAGAATTTATAATCTAATGACTACTGATCCTTTGACTGCTAGTATGTTTATCATTATGGGCTCAAAACAAACGTCATGGAAATTAAGGAATGGAAAATGCATTTTTCTTATCTGGAGTCTATCTGGTAAAGTCATGGAAAGAAGGAACTTCTAGGAAAATATGAATATCATTTTCTGAAATTGTTTTGGTTTTTTCTCTGCCATAAACAACATGAATCACACTCTTCTCAAATTATTAACATCATCTTAAGAGAACTGCAATAGATGATGTGATATTATCACATGCTTTTTTTTTGGGGGGGAGCCCCTGGTGGTGAAGTGGTTAAAGCACAGCACTGTGAACGCTGAGACCCGGGTTCGAGTCCCGGTCAGGGCCCCTCCCCAGGCAGATGGAGCTCGTTAGCCCTGTAAGGCAATCCATCTACGTCCTGAGGACCTCGCTGCCACTGTCCAAGCTCGCTTGGCCCCGGCAGATGAACCTCAGGATTAAAGGGTGGGCTCAGTTCCACACACACTGTGTCTCACCTAAAAAATCCAATGCGCAGGCTGGAAGGTGTAAAAACCTTCCCCGGTTCTTCGTTCGCGAAGAGACTGGCCATCACATGCTTTTTAACAAAAGCCTTGTTTGTGGGGAGGACAACATTAACACCATAAGTAAGAATGTCTATTTTCGTAATTACTAGCAAAATGGCCAAGAACCTGCAATGGTCAGTGCTTCTAGCTGCATAGAGTTGAAGTGAGTAATAACTAGTATGAGAACCTAAATAATCTAAAATCAAGTGTGGAAGCAATAACCAGTGGCTTGAAAATTGCTCCAGAATTATGAGTAAATATTCTTAAATCTGTCCCTTAGTTAAATCTGTCCCTCTAATTCATTAGCTTTTGGACACTGACTTCTTGTGTTTCTTTATCTGTCTAAATGTCAAATGCTGAAAGGCTTTCTCTTTTCAGAACAGATTATTTTAGAAGTCTCTTCCAACCTTAACCATTCTGTGATTCTATCATTCTAAGACAGAGTCCATGTTTTCTTATCTTATTTTTACTTTGAAATTACACACTCAGATCAGGTAAAATTGGAAGTTGAAAAAAGAATAGTTTAGTAGACATTAGAGAATATAGAAAAAAATTGTATTAATTTTCTTTACAACTTCTAAGGGCAATAGAAACAACATGTCATATTTCAAGATTAACTTAATTCTGCCTCACATTTAAGTATTGCCTGAAATGTCTTTTGTTACAGTATTACTCGGGTGTCCCATTCTTAGCATGGGCACCTGGCTTGACAGTCAAGTTATTCAGGTTTGAAATCACCCCTGTGCTTTAGTAAATTTACTACCTATTACCTTACATTAATTGCAACTGTAATTATTGTTAATGGTTACTCTACTGTTTTATATGTGTAAAATCCATGATTATGCCACAGAGGTGTATTGGGTTTGCATGACAAGGAGTTATGCCAGAATCAACCCACCACAACAGGCAGTAGCTGTTTCAACATACTGTTACAGATTTGAGTCAGTATAATTAGAACATCTGTAGTGCTCTTTGTTGACTTCGAGGAACAAGGAGATTTCTAGTCTATGTTTAGTCTGGTCTAGTTTATGTGTGACCATCAGTAAAGTCACCTAATCTCCCTCTGTATATTTTAGTCTATCTTATGTAGATTATTATGTATAAATATGTATAATTATGTAGAGTAATGAATCTTCACACCCATCTTGTTGACTGTATATGGCAAGTTATTCATAACAGGAGGTGCCAAAGAAGGTGTCTTGAACAAGTGCTACTTAGAGCAGTCTATGCCAGCCAGAGAGCAAGCTAACATTTAAGAAAAGGGACAAACAGGGATCCAGTGCTCATCCTGTTCTAGTTAGCTGGGGGAGTGTAACCAGAATGACAGTACTAAGATTTAGAAAAGTTTCCAGCATCCTGAAAATAAGCTGCCCTTGGATATTGTGGGCATAACTCAAAATGTTTGATCTCCTCTGAAAACCTCATCCTGAGAGTATAATCCTTGAGGAGTCATTTGCTCGCTTAAGATGAAGGCAAAATATACCATTTAGTCCAGTTGTAAATCAGTTTCAGAGAACCAGTAGAAAAACTTTTTCTTCAGAGGGAGAAATCACTTTTGGAAAACCGACACGTACAAAATTTGGATGTTCATCCACTGTCATACCCTTTTAAAGATTCAGATGAATAGTGCTAATGCTTATGATGTGGCACTGTTAATTAATCTAACTTACAACTCTGTTATCTTACTAGTTTGGTAGAAAGACGTGATAGATTACATGTCAATTAGATACACACTCTCCAAAAGTAGGCAGAAAATATTAAACTTCACCACAGGTCACATATTAGGTCAATTCACTATTACATCTTAGAAAGGTGAAATAATCAACATGTTCATCTGCTCTTTATATAATGCTGGTTTAAAGAAATTCAGAAAAACTGATGGCTCATATAAAATTGTTCTGAGTATAAATTAAAGGTATTTGGTAAAGTGCAGGAATCTAGAGAGAACTTCTGATTTTCATCTTCATTTTCAAACCCTCATTTTGTACTTTGCAGAATTGTAGTGCTAGAAGCAAAGAGGTGACTTTTTCTGTCCTCCTTCTCTGGGAGAGAATCATCACTCCTGTTTGTCTCGCATTTATCGTCTATGTAATATTTTGCTCTGTAGACCAATCAGCAATAGTTTTTCATAAATCATGTTTTTAGACCTTTAATGACTTGATGATCGCTTTTTAATTGTCTCCAGGTAGCGTCTGACTTGCTTCAAAGAGAATGCTCCATTCATTTGAATGACAACTTCATTTTAAAAGTTCCAAATTATATTCCTGTTTAAATCTAAGTAGGATATCAGTCTCTTTTCTGCAATAACATGCTTGTTAACTCTAGTAAGCTTGAAGTTATTATTTGCTATAATTCTACACTTCTGAACTGCTGTGTAACTGGTCATCGTCATACTGCATTTGTGCAGCTTCTTATTCCTATACTTCCCGGATTTTAATTTAATTTCTTTGTAAATTTTTCATTGTTATCTGATTTATTGCAAGCCTGTATTTTTTTCTTTCAGGCAAGCAAAAGCCATGTATTCCTGTAAGGCTGAGCATAGTCATGAGCTGTCTTTCCCACAGGGGGCAATATTTTCCAATGGTAAGATATGTTTTACATTGATTTATATATTTTGAAAAACCCTATAAAAAACTTGAACTGTATCCACAAAATGAGAGCATAATTCCATTTTAAGCTCTCGGGTTTTGCCCTGATTTTTCAATTGCTTTTGAATAAATACCATCTAAATAAATATATGAAGCATGTAAATTATTTTTTTTAAAGTGCTAATTAGTTGGGTATTTTCTTTTGCAGTGTATCCATCAGTGGAACCAGGATGGTTAAAGGCAACTTATGAAGGCAAAACAGGACTAGTTCCTGAGAATTATGTTGTCTTCCTCTAGTAATCTTTAGTGGAGAGCAATATCTTCATGGTATCCATGGTAACAAATAATAAGCACTGTGATTTTTATCTGACACAGATATGGGATCAGCCCCTTAGCTGAGTGGTAGATTTCCTTCAGATGCTGCTGCTGCAGGTTACACAGCTCCCTGTCAGTGGAACAGAATGTAATGAAACAGTTAACAGTTTCTGTACTGAAGACGGTACTCTGCCTAAATAACTTCCATTGTTTGCAAAAGGTTGTTCTGTTCTTCTTTTATGGGTAAGGAACACTAGAGCAATAAAATAAAAAAAAAGTTGCTATTTAGCTGCAGACTTTCAGGTCCGAGGATGTTGCTCACAGAAGTGTGAAATTTAGAGGCAATGCGCTCTATGACATCTCTCGCAATCTCTGTTTTTTAATACGGAAAATCATGGATTTTTTCATAATGTAAGTACTGTTTCTATTGTGATCAGAATTCTCCCTTAGAAAACTTGATTCTAAAATTAGTCCTAATCATTTCAAATACAAAATGAGTTTTCTGTAAATTAGAAGTTTTAACTTCTGTTAGTCATTGAGATTACAATATGTTAGAGGATTTATGCAGCTGATAATATCAGTTTATACACTGCCTGAGCAGTAAGTGCTCATTCAAAATGTGATATGTTTAATGAATGTTTCATTCAAATACTTCTTAGATTCATTTCTTTCTTTCTGTTATCAGGATAGATAATATTAACAACTTTTATTTCAATGATACCCATCATCTGGAAGATATTCTCAGTATATCCCAAAACAACATCTGTAGAAAACAAGGAGATGCTGAATCTGGACTGATTGGTAGTCTTGAAAAGTGAGCAGTGAAAAACAGTAGTATGTTTTGAAACCTGACATAAACTGTAACTGATTCTTTTTCCAGCTTTTTTCCTTGCAAATAAGACAAGTGGCCTGTGAACTAGCCAGTTTTATAAGCTATGAATGCTGAAAGCTCCATGTAGCAATGAAAGTATTTAGTATTATTTCTCCTGACTTCTGCTAAAATATTTGACAAAGATTTCTCTCCTTCCACAGAATAAAAAATCCTTACTTTTTAAAGGTGTTGTAAAGACCAGTTGATTGCTTCTGGTAGGACTGAAGAGAAAAAAACCAAAGTCAAAGAAATCCCAGAAACATTTAGCAGCTTTCTCAGTCTGAGCATCTTTCTTGTACACCTTGAGGGAAAACATGCACTGCTTGCTTGGCTACTTACCATGTCTGATTGAAAATGAGGATATTTAACCTTTATATTAGTATTTCTTCAACATTAGTCCTTCCAGGAGAATTTATAAAACTATCTAGGCTTAGTTTCATAGACCTGTCCAGGCTTAGTTCTTTCTTCAGGAGCAGAAATCATCATACAAATCTGTTGATTTCTAAGTTGTACACTACTTCCAGAAAATTTAAGGAAGAACTGCTGTTAGGACTAAAATTATCAGCAGTTTTTTAACTGCTTCTTTTTTCTTTCCATAGCCTTTTTCTTGTTTTAATTGGAAAATCAGACTTAGTGTCAACATAAAGAAGCACATCAGAAACATTCTTTACTTATATGTATAAGTATATACATATACTTATATATATATCACAGTGCATGATTTCTTCAGAGCAATTGTTAGAATTCAGGCCAGTGGCAGAAGCTTGCAGGATCCTTTTCTTCATTAATTTAAGTATCAAGCGGTGATCAGGGAAGGAGAGAGGCTGAAAGAGCATCCTTCCAAAAATGGTCTGGCTTTTCAGAGCAGGAGTCTGGGCAAGGCTGACAGCAGGCAGTTGAGGACAGACCTCTTGAGTTAGTGACTGAGTGACTTTAGTCACCCTAAACAATTTCGTAAGTCCTAAACCATGCTTCTCTTCATCTTAAGTCCAGACTCTGCCCAGTGCATTGTGACGAAGGGTTGTTCTAGATGTCACCAGCAACGAAGGTCTTTTCTAACCTGATTAAGCGGTTTTTTTTGTTTTAAGGCAAGCCAACTTTTCTTAGTGCAAGCTATGCTTGAAACTGCCGTTGCCCTGAGAAGATGAACATGGGTTTGGTTGCGCTTCTGCTGTATTTCACAGTTGAAAAACTGCAGGCTGTCAACAGGCTTACCTCTGGTGACTTTCTCAGGAGAAGTGCTGTTGCAGGCAAAAAGTAGCAGAAAGGGAAGCAGAGCTTTGAGCAGAGGCTGGAAACCCAGCACATCTCACACAGGCAGAGAAATGCAGTGGTCTGGGGAAAAAAAATCTTAACTTTTGCCTATTGCAGGGAGTCACTGGCAAATCTGTATTGAACATCCTTTGGTGACCCCTCATACCTCTCAGGGGCAATTTAATTGTTGTGAAATCTTGTGGAATGGTGAAATAGAAAATGTTTGCTCCGACTTGCTTTGTTCTAGCCTTATTTAAAAGTAAGCAGAAATAAACCCCTACGCTTACGTAATTTCACATCCCCTGTAAATGTTTCCAGTATTATGTTTTGAAACCAGCTGATCTGGGTGCAAGCTAGAGGACTCATAAGATGCCAAGTTCATAAAACCCAGTGGGGTAGAAGTTTTTCATCTGTTCTGATGCATTCATCTCACATTAAACACAAATTTGGATTGCAGAAGACAACTTCATAAGAAACTGGATTCCATTCATGTGCTGCTCACAAAACAAATCTGTATTTTCCTCTGTAAGACTGCAGCTTTTTCAGGCCCTTCTTCTGAACTAACCATAAATAATTTTTAAGTAGTTTAGCTTAAAAATGGCATTTCCATCTGAAAAAAGTTACGCCCATTCTTACTTACTCACTCTTCAGGAGTAGGGGTTTTTGTTTTTTGAAATCTTCTGTGGTTTTTCTTTTACTCTTCTTTGCAACAAGTAGTAGCACTTTCTGTATAATCTCGAGGCTGGTTTGTGGATGCCTCAGCTCTTCCCTGACTTTCAAAGGGCAGTTTATCTTTGTAAGAAGCTGTACCTGAACCAGAAAGTTAAGTAACTAGGGGTGCAAGGACTGAAATGGGAGTGAGGGCAGCATCAAGGCTTCTCTAATGATGATACTCTCGGGCCTGACAAAAAATCCTTTCTGATAATAGCAAAGAATCAGAAATCCATATAACATTTAAATGAAGATATAATATCTTGATAGTGCCTTACCAGAAAATTAGACAATCTGAACTAAATTAGTTCATAGTATTGATTTAATGTTTTTCACGAAAGTTAGATTCACTCTACAAGGAAAGGTTTCAATTTTTTTTAATAATTATTATTATATTTCCTAAAAGGATGCAGCAGGTTTTTTTCCAAATAAGACTTTAGAACTCAAGGTTCTAAAGTTACATTGTGATCGCTGTTTGTCTTGTGGATATAATGTCTGTACCCACAACATATAAAAACAAATAATTAGCCATGTTTTTTTCTTTGTTAAACCTTTTGATACATGTTGCAGCACAACATGAATCAAATTAATAGTGTGAAGGACTGATATATTTTATGATAAATATGTAAAGTATATTAATATTTTATATTCACACTTTTTATTAATTATGATAAAGATTAAAATTTTTGCGTGTAATTCCTTGTATTAAATTGTTCAGTATTAAAATGTCCTTGCCATATTTTGGCATTTAGATTTATATGTACCGAAACTCTTAAATTAAACCATAGCTATCACTATTTCCCTAACTAATCTTTAATGTTCATTGTACAATTATTTCTGGAAAAAAAAGATGCACAGGTTTGCTGACCAGCGCTATTCTATGATAGTAATAGTAACTTATTTTTCTTTTATATATTTTCTGGTGCTAGTCTCCATTTCTTGGCTGTAATTGGATTGAATTGTAATGTGCCTTTAGGAAAGACATGATAGTAGAGGAAAAGTTGCAAAATTCTGCAATTCAGAACGATTATTACAACCAAAAAAAAAGCACTGTATGGCAGCAATTGGATTTTTTTTAAACTTTTCTCCCCTGACCTATTTTCTACTTAATAAGATTGCATCAGGATATATAATGAAACTAAAAAGTGCATTGTTCTTTATATTCCTTTTCTTAAGGCAGAAGTTTGTGCAATTTTGGATTTAGCATTAAGAAGAGAAATCCCAGTAGGGTAGCACATTCTCCAGACTGGGGTGGATCTTCTCCACTGGTGGAAACTCTCAAAGCTCTAGTGAAGTCAAAGACAGACCTTTGACAATTTATAGTGAGGGTTTGCTGGCAAGAAGCACCCAGAACGAAGATGGAATATTCTGTTAATGGGATAATCTGTCATAAATTGTCCTTTATTTCAGCAGAATGCCCTGTATGAATCACTTAGTAACAAGAGATCAAGCTGTAGGAAACGTTAGTCTCTCCCTTCCTGATCACAGAGCCCTGACAGCTGCTGCTGCAGCAGCCCGTCCAGTTCCTGCTCATGCTAAAGTCAGACTGTCAATTAGGCTCTTCCTGTACCCATTGGGAAGTCTCCTTTTTTTTTTGGTTATGATTTTGCATGGGCTTTGGGAGTTTGCCTTATTTTGTTTTAATATGGTTCTTCATATCCAAACTAATTTAGTCACTGAGGATCATACTGGTTTTTTAATTGTCCTGTGTGTGGCAGTATTTAATAAGACATTGGGTTATCCTTGTTTTCTTAAATATAGAGCATGGTGCTTCAGTCCTTGGATGTCTCAGCTGAAAGCTAGTTTGCATTTGAGCTTTCTGCAATTTTTTTATTGTGAATTGTCATCAAAGTTCTGACACTAAAGACAGCACCATTATCTCTGCAAGAGTTTCTGCTGGAGCAAAGGGCAAAGCAGCTGAGCAGGGCACATAGTTTCAGTTTTCAATCATATTTATGACAACTTTGGAGGTATTAGAGTTTATAGGGGTTACTTTGAATACTATATGGTATTTTAATAGGAAAGTATATACAATCAATAACTATATATTTAATAAAACCCTACTAAATTATCTTATTGAACTCTCTGTTTATTTTGTAGTGTGGTTTGAATAATTATCTGCACTCTGTATATATCTACATGTAAATAACTAGCATGACATGCATAAACTGACTTGCAGACATAATTCTATGTTGTACTTTACACTGTATTTCAAAAATTTGAAAAAATGTTTTTCAGAATAAAAATGCATTCTACACAAACTGCTTTCTTTATCTTTAAATTTGGGCTCTGGTTCAGCATTTTCTTTTTTCCAAGAACACTTTGGTTCCACTTCTACCCATACCTGCATTTTAGAGTTACATTTCACCCCTGAGGATGCTTTATGTAGAGGACATTGTTCCTAACATTGAGCATTGGGTATATGAATACCAGGCAATAGTATGTCATCCACTGTCCTGGTCATGTGGAAGTTTCCAAAGGTGTGGCTTTTGAGGAAAAGAAAATGACAGCTTTGGATGTTAGATATCAAGAAGCACATCCCTGGTGTGGCAAAACATCAGTGATGAGGTCCTTGTTTCTGAAAATCACCGGGTGGGCAGGCTCACAAGGAGAACCCAGGAGACTTTTATATCCCTGAAACAATCAGGCTTTGTAATGATCTTGACTTAAAAAACCCCGTTTCTTAAACAAGAAAGATCAAACCAGCCAGCTGATAAAACTCTTTTCACTGTGTGCTTGAGTTTGAATAGTGCAGAGAACTGCTGCAGGAGACCCAACGCGGATGGGTCCTGCTCCCGCAGCCAGGGCTGCTTGCTGCCAGCTGCCTGCCCCAGGCACTCACAGGCTGCTGCTGGCTCCTGCCTGCCAGCCCCTGGGCTGGCCAGAGCCTCCCTGGCTGCCTTCCTCTAAGAGGAGTCTGAGGGCCTGCTGCCTCTGCACAGGCACTGTGCCCACAGCCCTGCTCGGGGCATCAGAGATACCTGAAAACAAAACATCAATACTGTGGCCATAGATAAAAATGAGGTAGTTGGAGAAGCAAAGCAACCTGGACCAGATGGAGAAACAGTCTTTTCCTTTTGTTGCTTTCTAGAAACTGCTTGTAGGTGAAGCTTCTATTTCACAGCTCTCCCGGCTTGAGGATTTGAGAGATGAGGAGTCTGCTTTCAGGAGTCAGTCACCTGCAGCCTGTAGTCACCAAACATGACCTGCAGCTTGCTGAGGTCCTGGTGTCCCTGGCAGGATGGGGCCAGGGAGAAGGCAAGGTTCCCCTTGGGACTGAGGGATGCAATTGGGCTGACAAATCTACTTATTAGTCCTGCTGGAAAAGCCTGAGAAGGAGAGGGGCTGCAACAAGGGGTTAGAGCTGAGCTGAAACTTAGTGCCCTTACTTAAAGCAATAGAACCGCACCTGAGGTGTGGTGTGTAACAATTACAATATAAGCTCTCACCCAGAGGAAACATCTGTGTGATGGGCCCTGTCACCACTCATGCCCTGCTACACTGCCCAGCACCACAGGGACTTTCAGAAAGTGGGTAAGTGCAGAGGCAGTTGTGTGTGGGTACCCGGAGACACCTGCCCTGCCCTGCCCTGCTGCTCTCTTGTGCCTGGCAGGATGGGCCTGTGCCTGTATCAGCTGCGCTGTGACAGCTCCATCTGGGGCCAGAACTTGTGACCAGATTCCCTTCTGTTCCTGCTGAGGACCATGAAAGTAGGCATGGTAGGAGCTGCCACGGATGCCCAGCTCTGCACAGCAAATATGCACAAGAGGAAATAGAGAATATCTGCATTTTTATAGTTCACCAAAAATGATAGTTCATCACTGATTTTATTTTAAAAATAAAAGAGCTGGGTTTTCTATTAGTTTTCTACGCTTTCCCCTGTAGATGCAGGCTCCTTGGCTTTAGATCCCCTGATCTGCAGGAGTGAGCATATACTAGTTTGGGGTGTAGATAAGCTCTAAAATAGATCTCATCACTCATTTTCTCAGTGTCCCATTTTACTTGGCATAAGGGAATAACTAACTGGGAAACAAATGTTCTGGCTTGACAGCGTTTGACATTTCAGCGAGCATTTAAGTATAAAAATACTTAAATTGCTGTTAAACACAACATATTGCTGTGTTAACACCAAATTGAAAACTCTCAGGGGATGAAACATCTGTTTCTTAACAGAAAGAGTGAAGACACATTTAATTACTTGATTGTATTACAGGACACGATTCTCGTGTTTGGAAAAGTGGATCTTTATGGCTTTATTATTGATAAGGCTTCAATGTGAACTATTGAGAAAGTGACGTATGGAATGTGTGCTGACATGAGCCAGGCCGTCCACTGCCCCCTGCCTAAAGAGGAGAAACTTCAGTGATGCAAGGAAATGGCACAGGTGAAAACTGAGCAGGTGGCAAAGTCAGTTCATACTCCTGTTCAGAACATTTTCTCGTTAGTTGGGCTTGATCCATTCCTTCAAAAACGAACTGTATTTCTAACACAAACACTGTGCTTATTAAACATGGTAAATAAGGTATTTGCACTTTCGTCTTTTAAACTTAATTCACATTTGTAAAGCTTTTCCCGTGTCATTTGGATTAATTACTGATACGGAAACAAAGTATTGAAAGATATTCTTGGCTTCTTGTGCAACGGTTGGCTGCTTTTCTATTGTATTTATGGCATCAAGCTCAAAAGCTGAACTAACCTAGACCGAGTGCCTTTGCCAAAGATCATGGTGTGCTTTTTTAATGTAAACATGCAGGGATTCATGGGAACATTGAGTGACTTCCACAGCCGGTACAGAAAGGAGCCTTAATTCACTTGAAAGTACTTTGGTAATTGGAATACATCTTTCTGCCAGTATAACTGAGCAACTGATTAGTTAGACCCAGCACAGGTGTATTTCATTTAAAATTACTGTTAATGGCTCTCGGGTGCCCTTACAAGGGATTAGAGTCCCATCGGAATGAAAAACATCAGTGATTTAGTTTTGTTGATGGTCATTGCTTTTCTATTCTTACAAAAAAAAAACACATTCAAAGGGAAACATGCAGCACATCTGGATTGGGGCTATTTTCAAAATGAGGTTGGAAATGCCATGCTTTGGCTAGTGCAGCCATGAGATCCATCCCCACCAGCAAGTGCAGGGGACTGAGAGGGATAGGGAGTCAGCTTTTACTGGGCTTGGGGCAGGATGGGGGTATGGAGGGCTTGCAACATGTCACACCGCAGCAGAGCAGAAGCCACAGGCTCCAGCCACACTCATTTGAGGGGCTCTGTAGTCCAGACGTGACCATATGCTCATGGTATCACTGGGGAAACGTCAGCGTAGTTGTAAGCAGGTGAGACAGCTGCGAGCTGGGAAGCCCCATGAGAAACCTTTCAGAGGACAATTCCCAAACCCAGGCGGAAGAAAGATAAGAAACCTGAGCTTGACCAATCTATTGAGTGTTTGTCCAAATAAATTAATTGGCATGCAGGACACAACTGGTTCCTAGAATAAAACACATGCTGTTTGCAAAGGGCCTCACAAGAAGATAACAAAGATTAGGGTTTCAGTGCACCTGAGCCAGGAAGCTGAGCACAAAGTGCTAGAAACAGAGACTGTGAAAGCAGTGACAACTGCGAGGCCTGAATTACCACAAAACAAGCAGAATGCCTATCAGCAGGGAAAATCCCCAATCGTGGTGGCACCTTCCAGGGACATGCAAAAGAAACAGGTAGATACCAGAAGACCTCAGAGACATTTTGGTGCAAACAAATTGCACTGGGCAGCAGTGATGCAAATATATCCTTACATAAAACCCTGGCTTAAATGGTCATTTAAAGTTTGTTATTTCCTGCTGTTGCTGTTGGTTGAGCAATATTTATGTTTGTCCTGTAAAGTGCTGCTTCTTTTCTGTAATTATGACAAATTGCCTGCCTTGGATGGGAAAAATGGCTTTTCTGCACAATGTCCTGCTCCCCAGACCTTCCTTGAGAAACCTGCAGTGAATGTCATAGGAGTGTTTTAGCCAGCATCCAGCTGTAATTTGTAACACTGTTTTGTTTCCAGATGGGTCCTTCTCTCTGCCCTCGCCATCCTTCTGAAGTTCAGATGATACAAAACAAACCAGCACAATTAATTTTTCCTTCAGAGCAGCACAGAACCAAGTTGTATAAAGAGGTTCAGGTTCTGCCCCTGAGAAAGCATTTCCTTAATAAGTTTTTCTGTTCTTTGTTTAAATGATCCCTGAAATATTTCCTGACTAAATGAACTGGGAAGCCAAATGTCCAGTTGTCTGTTAACATATCAGCATGAGAAACTCAGGTGAATATTGTGGCTTTTTAGCTAACACAATTAGCTTTTCTGCATAGTTTTATCCAGAGGGAAAACCAAGAAAGAGTGTTTATCATGGTGTATTTGTGTGCATCTCTCACAAACTGCTCATCTCCTGAAGGCAGCAGGAACAAACACATCTCTTCACTTTTCGGTTTCCAAGGCACTTGTTTGGGTCAGCCTTCCCTGCAGGAACATTTGAGTTAAACAGTGGTAAATACACAAACCCAATGCAGCACAGGGGGTGATTTAGGACAGTGGACCTTCTCCCAGCATCACCTCACCCTTGGCTCAGTTTGGTGCCTTCTCCAGTGCTGTAGCATCTTTATTGGTAACACATACGAAAGGAAATGATATTTTCATCTGAATTCCTGCACAGCAGGATCTCTAACACCACTTTCTTTCACTTAGATAATCACAAAATAGTCTTCGCTGTGAGCAGAGAATGATTATTGCATGAACTCATTAGTATGTTGAAGTGGAAGCTCACCTGTGCTGTGCAGAGATGAGTCAGGCTCAACAGCAGCTGTGTCATTATGGAGTCTGAGATGTCACAATAAAAACACCCACCTCATTTAGGCAGGCTGTTATTCACTAAAGGCCAAAGCAGAAACTTCTACTTCAAAGAGCTTAGCACTGTATGTCAAATAATGAGTAACCTTATTTCATTCCTTATACCCTTCCATTACCATGTCTGCTAAAAAGAACAAAACTCGAAACTCTTTTTGAGCAAAAGACATATTCATTGAGACTGAACTGGGACAGAGCATATATGTATGAAGTCATTCCACTCAATCCAGGGGGACATCATTGTGTAAATAAATAACTGGGGATTAAATAAATCTACCAATCCAGGTATGCTCACTGAATGCATATTTAAGTAGGACCACAAGCTTCGACACCTTGTAGTTTAAAGTCTCAAAATATCTCAAAGACTTTCATATTATTTTCTTCTGTGTGCTAGGTGCTAATAGAACTTCTACCTGTATTTTTGTACTGACTAAATGTTTTCCCCAGGTGTTTTATACTTCATGGAATGTTTAAAATTAAATTATTTCAAAAAAAAATCATCTGTGTGCTAAATCCCAGCCCTGTCAAACTGTTTGTGATGTGAACAAGGAGTACTGGTAATATCCAAGAGATCAATTCACAAGAACAAGGACATTCAGAAATGAAAATGAAACATCACTTTCAAGAAGTTCTGCATTATGTGGAAGTACTGTCCATGAGTATTAACATTGTTGGCATGACTAATGCTTCTCTGAGGGCGCAGTAACATTCCAGCATATCCTTAGAAAGGGGCCACATCCAAACCAGCAGACCAGACCTGAGTTGCCAATGCTTCCTCAGAATAGGAAGGGAGAGGGGTGGTCTCTCCAGTCGATGGCTATTCTGCCCCCCACCAGGGTGTGAGTCCCACTCCTTGCCTACTGCACACCACATCAGAAGGCAGCATGGTAGGAAGTGGGACATGTTAAGGATGGGGAAAGGATCACCTGAGCGCTACAGTTCCTCAAAAGCCGGACGTGATGTGCCCTGTTGGTACAGCCAAGGAAAGGCTGCACCAGGCCAAGTCAATGACCAGCAACAAGGAAAGTATCCATGGCAGGGCAGACTTTTTAAAAAAACTTTTCCTTTGTACGTATTTATGCTGGAAGATCAGGAGTGCATTGTAACTTCTCTTTAATGAAAGCAGCAACTGCCAGTGTATAGAAACATAAAGTCACTACCTTCCATGTAAGTATAAATAAATAAATAGAATTTTGTCATCTCCTGTTACTTTGAGTCTTGTAGAAGGTTTGAATTTAAAACAAAATGGCAAATAATTCTGCCCCCTTCCTCAGCCATATGGGTTTAAATCAATAAATAATCATCAGTGTGTGTTGTGTCTAACCTGGAGCTGCCCAAGTAACCCCACTGCAATCAGCCTCCTGGCAGCTGCTCTGTAGGACAGCACGCACAAAGTGACTCCACCAAGCCTGGTACTGGTGACTGCAGATCCATGTCCAGTTACAGCACAGAGCCATTCTGTAGCTTTACTTCCTAGTCAATCTAGAGGATTTTTTTGCATCTACTGGTAACTGAAGACTTAAACACTTCTCGTACTACTACAAAGTAAGCACATCCCCAGTTTATTGGACATGACACAACATAGCTAGACAACACTTTTACAAAAATACTTGAAAGCTATTATTTCAGATGTACAAATATATAGATGAAAGCTTCTCTTCACAAGAGGAAAATACAGAAATCTTACACAAGTTCCTTTTTTTTTTTTTTCAAAAAATAAAAACAATGGCAACAAATTGTAAATTATATCCATCGTGATCCTGAATGTTAAATACAGAGAAATATGAGCATCAGTCCAAACATGTCTCACACTTAAGGATTATTTGGCTTTCTACATATTTTTTTCATTGAGGATTACAAAGTCTCTGCAAAGTGTTAATGCATTACACATCCAAGTAACCCACTGGGAAAGAAAGTGTGTTGAAGGCATGGGAAGGAGAGGAGAATAAATGTTTTATAAATATCCGAACTGGAATTTAGAGGTTGTGTGAAATTCAGAAACTTTAACATATCATGCATTGCTAGAGTGGCCAGCCTTAGGTTGTGCTTTTCTCTATCGCTTAGTTTTTCTTAAAATTAATAGTTGTCTTGAAGGAAGGCTTTAAGGATACTTTAAATGAAAATCTTCATGAAGTAATTTTTCAGAATTTCAGATGTTTGGATTTTTTTTTTTTTTAATGTTGTGTTTTAATCATTTGTGCAATCTTTTGGTTGTGGACAGCCAAACTGACACATGACCGGTATTCTGAAGCTGGAGAAAGGGGAGAAGTTTCTGTCTCCCAGTAAAATCTAAGTTGGCTATAGCCATCACTATGAACTACATCTAATAGCAACTGGATGTGTGATTCTGTAAAATTATTGTTAAGAAGTGAACTGCCCAACTCACAGCGTAACTATAGTGTAAGCTCTGCTTTGAATTACAAAACTTCTAAACTTTTAAGTGAAGAGCCTTGTTGTTGTCAGGTGACCAACGCTTGATGTGCAGTTATGACAGTCCCAAAAGACAATATTCTCATCCATTGTGTTTATGCCTCACAGTTAGGCTGGGGGTCTGTCCTGATGGTATTATGTCAGATTTTTTTTTTCTATTTAACAGTGTATAATGTTTGTCAAGTGTCTTCTATTTTGTCTGTAAGAGAATATGCTTATGTGGACCAGCGAAATCCATGTTTTACATATTAGTAACATATTAATTGCACTACAGGCATCTTTGTCCCCATTTCAGACACAACAACTCCAAATATTTCTAACAAAAGGAAGATTCCTACATGTAACAGTTTGCCACCTGCCAGCCCAAAGTTTCAGTTCCTTCCTTGAACACCAAAGTTGTGACCCTTACTGTCTCTGAGGTGCACGTGAAAACTCATTCCACTCAAACTGCTTTTGTATTGTGATGATGCATAAAGTGAAGTATGATGATATTTTTATAAATGCATTTATACAAAAGACAGATAGTGCGTGAAACACTGTTATTCATGGAGTTGGTTTTACCTTTCCTATGAAATAAGTTGGCAATAGCTGTAATTAAATGCCTTCTGAATAGATGTGTCCATTTGGGGGAATTAATAAAATACATGCATTTATGGTTTTCAAAGATTATGTAACTCCTTCAAGCTTCCTTACTTTGGGTAATGAATTAGAGATCCTTTTAATTTTAGTATAAAATCAGCCTTATTCAGGCACTATATAATATAACTGTATATTCATTTGAAACAAAATTTACTTTTAAAGCTGCAATAGTTATTGCAGGTCACTGGGCGTTACTTTTTCAAGTATTCTAAGGCCACTTACACACCTTTCTGGATGCATACTTCCATGCATATATTGGTTTGGTGCTTTCCTTATTCATGATCCATATTGCTCAATGTGCTTCCATATTCATGCTCAAAACAGTCCTGTCAGAATAAATCAGTTTCTTTGAGCAGTTTCACTATGAGAACATTATCCTCAACTGGAGACATCACAGGTTAGAGTCTCAGGCTAGACATAAACCAGCAATACAGAGTATGAAGTGTAAAAACATTGCTCTATTAGTATCCAGTATACTAAAAATAGGCATATGCGAAAATTGTACATCCAAGATGGAATGTGCAACTTATGGTGATATTCACATAAATCTCACCTGTAAAAACACAAAGGTATCTGTACTAATCTACCCAGTTATTTCTGACTTGATGTCAAAGATGCTCATTGTGCTCACTAGCTGTTTTTCATCCAATCTGGCCCCCTGTTTGAAAGTACACAGCTGTGAAGCTCACCGATGCGGTATTCTGAATTCCTGACAATGATGTATTTATTTTTTTCTCAGCAAGAAGAGATTTTAGTAATGAACTGGCTGGGTGGGTATTTAAATTGAGTGTGGGAAAATGCAACAGAGTGAGACTGTTTAAATGACACTGTGAGAACTTCCTCACTGATATGCCTGAATGCTAAATTGGTGGAACTATTGTATCTGCAGAGGTGAAAAGGTAACTTACTTTTCATGGTCAGAAAAACATGATCTATGGCTAAAAGACTCACGATGGTATTTTTATAATAAGCCTACCCCACACTGGCAAGAAATGGAAATGTTGCCAGTTTTAAAGGATATTCTAGAATTAAATGTAAGCTTACCATATCCTTTATTTGCTTTAAATACCTCATACAGAGCATGGTGGGCTCAACCCAGGGAAAAAATTCTTAAATATAAGTGAAAAAATATATCAAGGTTGCAGGACTGCTCATATACTTAAAGTTATGCAGCTGCTGAATTAGTTCCAACAGCAGTGAAGGACTATTTTCTGAGGATTATTTATTTTCTCTTTAAGGTAAACAGACAGATAAATTTTAACCCATGCAGGCACCTTTTACTGCATGTTTCTGTCCAAGCATCTGAGAAGCTACAGTACCATTCTGCATGCAAATAACGTCAATCCAATAAATTAATAACATTCATTGAGAAAAAAACCACATAAATTTAAAAAAAAAAAAAAAAAAAACAAAACAAAAAAAAACCAACCTCAAATATTCCTTTTTCCCTTTTCATTTTCCAAGGGGAAAAAGAGAACTAAACTAAAAACAAACCCTCTGTTCAAGTCAGGTCACCATGACACAAAGCAGTACAAGCCAATAAATCCAGCAATGCTGACAGTCCAGCCTGGCAGTATGCACACAGGCTTTTGAGCCATGGAAAGTTGGGAGGGCTTTGGACATTAGCTCTGTGGCTGTGAGCTGACTTCTTGGAAGGAAAGAAAGGTCAGCGTGCCACAAACAGCATGTAAGGCAAAAAATGTGAGCTTGGAGCTGCAGTGCTGCACGGGTAGAATGCAACCCCATCCCCTCCTGCTCTGCAGATAAAGTAACCTTAAGTTTGTGCAGGTTGGAGAGTATGGGAAGAAAGGATTCCTGCAGGATCCCTACTTTTCATACTACTGATACATCACTGATAACTGAGATACA